TACCCAACTTGTTAAATGAGATTGCTCGATAAACAATAAAATTAGCTTCAGTTATATGGGACACCTTACAATATCTAGTCAATTTTAATATGATATTTATAACAAGTACTAAATACACCCTAACCCAAAAAATTCGAAAAAGTGTAAATATCACCATCATGACGATGGCAGTGGTTTTTTTACTTATCTGATTTTGATTGTGCTCTAAGACATGCTCTCTGATTGGTTGATATACCATGTGGTCATATTATACCAAGCCATGTACAGTCACACTGGTTGTTAAAAACATGTGATTCGTTTGATTTCGGTCTAGCAATGTATTAATTCTGTATTTGTGGTGTAAAGGCACAGGTATAAAATAGCTAATTCAAAACATATATCTGATGGCGAAAAAGATCGATTTTGTGATAAAACACTTTTTTTTTTGAATAAACAGGACCAGTGGAATTTGCCTCCAGAAAAAAATGAAATTTTACTGTTTATTTGTCCAGGAATAAGTTCACAATTCCTGCATTTCCACACCTCTGCTTGTTTATTTGTTAATCGTTTACTTTTGTTGCCATGTGTCTGGAAAATGTTTTGTACATAGCAACGATTCAGTAGTGTCAGACTCTTGAAAATGTAGCTTCTATAACCAAATGCTGACACAACAAAATAATAGCTGTGAGGGGCTCATTACATTCAGTATATACTCCCACAGCTGTGAGGAGTTCATTATATTCAGTATATACTCCCACAGCTGTGAGGTGCTCATTACATTCAGTATATACTCCCACAGCTGTGAGGGGCTCATTATATTCGGTATATACTCCCACAGCTGTGAGGGGCTCATTACATTCAGGATATACTCCCACAGCTGTGAGGAGTTCATTATATTCAGGATATACTCCCACAGCTGTGAGGTGCTCATTACATTCAGTATGTACTCCCACAGCTGTGAGGAGCTCATTACATTCAGTTTATACTCCCACAGCTGTGAGGAGCTCATTACATTCAGTATACACTCCCACAGCTGTGAGGAGCTCATCACATTCAGTATATACACCCACAGCCGTGAGGAGCTCATTACATTCAGTATATACTCCCACATCTGTGAGGGATGCATTATATTCAGTATATACTCCCACAGCTGTGAGCTGGGCCCTATTACATTCAGTATATACTCCCACAGCTGTGAGGAGCTCTTATTACATTCAGTATGTACTCCCACAGCTGTGAGCTGGGCCCTATTACATTCAGTATATACTCCCACAGCTGTGAGGAGCTCATTACATTCAGTATATACTCCCACAGCTGTGAGGAGCTCATTACATTCAGTATATACTCCCACAGCTGTGAGCTGGGCCCTATTACATTCAGTATATACTCCCACAGCTGTGAGGAGCTCATCACATTCAGTATATACACCCACAGCCGTGAGGAGCTCATTACATTCAGTATATACTCCCACATCTGTGAGGGGTGCATTATATTCAGTATATACTCCCACAGCTGTGTGCTGGGCCCTATTACATTCAGGATATACTCCCACAGCTGTGAGGAGTTCATTATATTCAGGATATACTCCCACAGCTGTGAGGTGCTCATTACATTCAGTATATACTCCCACAGCTGTGAGGTGCTCATTACATTCAGTATATACTCCCACAGCTGTGAGGAGCTCATTACATTCAGGATATACTCCCACAGCTGTGAGGAGTTCATTATATTCAGTATATACACCCACAGCCGTGAGGAGCTCATTACATTCAGTATATACACCCACATCTGTGAGGGGTGCATTATATTCAGTATATACTCCAACAGCTGTGAGCTGGGCCCTATTACATTCAGGATATACTCCCACAGCTGTGAGGAGCTCATTACATTCAGGATATACTCCCACAGCTGTGAGGAGCTCATTACATTCAGGATATACTCCCACAGCTGTGAGGAGTTCATTATATTCAGGATATACTCCCACAGCTGTGAGGTGCTCATTCCATTCAGGATATACTCCCAGAGCTGTGAGGAGCTCATTACATTCAGTATATACTCCCAAGGCTGTGAGGTGCTCATTACATTCAGTATATACTCCCACAGCTGTGAGGAGCTCATTACATTCAGTATATACTCCCAAGGCTGTGAGGTGCTCATTACATTCAGTATATACTCCCACAGCTGTGAGGGCTGCATTATATTCAGTATAAGCTCCCACAGCTGTGAGGTGCTCATTACATTCAGTATATACTCCCAGAGCTGTGAGGGGCTCATTACATTCAGTATATACTCCCAGAGCTGTGAGGTGCTCATTACATTCAGTATATACTCCCACAGCTGTGAGGGCTGCATTATATTCAGTATAAGCTCCCACAGCTGTGAGGTGCTCATTACATTCAGTATATACTCCCAGAGCTGTGAGGAGCTCATTACATTCAGTATATACTCCCAAGGCTGTGAGGTGCTCATTACATTCAGTATATACTCCCACAGCTGTGAGGAGCTCATTACATTCAGTATATACTCCCACAGCTGTGAGGTGCTCATTACATTCAGTATATACTCCCACAGCAGTGAGGAGCTCATTACATTCAGTATATACTCCCACAGCTGTGAGGGGCTCATTACATTCAGTATATAATCCCGTAGCTGTGAGGACCTCATTACATTCAGTATATACTCCCACAGCTGTGAGGAGCTCATCACATTCAGTATATACTCCCACAGCTGTGAGGACCTCATTACATTCAGTATATACTCCCACAGCTGTGAGGAGCTCATTACATTCAGTATATAATCCCGTAGCTGTGAGGACCTCATTACATACAGTATATACTCCCACAGCTGTGAGGGGCTCATTACATTCAGTATATAATCCCATAGCTGTGAGGAGCTCATCACATTCAGTATATACACCCACAGCTGTGAGGAGCTCATCACATTCAGTATATACTCCCAAGGCTGTGAGGTGCTCATTACATTCAGTATATACTCCCACAGCTGTGAGGAGCTGATTCCATTCAGTTCATACTCACACAGCTGTGAGGTGCTCATTACATTCAGGATATAGTCCCACAGCTGTGAGGAGCTCATTACATTCAGTATATACTCCCACAGCTGTGAGGAGCTCATTACATTCAGTATATAGTCCCACAGCTGTGAGGTGCTCATTACATTCAGTATATACTCCCACAGCTGTGAGGTGCTCATTACATTCAGTATATACTCCCACAGCTGCGAGGTGCTCATTACATTCAGTATATACTCCCACAGTGGTGAGGAGCTCATTACATTCAGTATATACTCCCACAGCTGTGAGGTGCTCATTACATTCAGTATATACTCCCACAACTGTGAGGAGCTCATTACATTCAGTATATACTCCCACAGCTGTGAGGAGCTCATTACATTCAGTATATACTCCAACAGCTGTGAGATGCTCATTACATTCAGTATATACTCCCACAGCTGTGAGGAGCTCATTACATTCAGTATATACCAATGTTCATTCAACATCATTTTGAGTTTGTTTTTATTAGTTTGAGATAAATGTGCAAACAAGCAAAAGACAAATAAATACAAATACAATAAAAATCTGCAAGGAGTATTACTGGTTAAATAATCTATTTCATAAAATAAAACATTTCAATTTTGAAACGTAGAACCACCTACTGAAAGGGAGAGGATGTGGAGAATATAATCGAGCTACCAAGTCGAACCCGTGAAGATCCCGGTTAGAACTAGTCTTCAGCCACCTACCGGTAAGCTTGTCGTAAGAGGCGACTAACGGGATCGGATGGTCAGACTCGCTGACTTGGTTGATGCATGTCATCGTATCCCAATTGCGTGGATATTCATGATGCTCATGATGTCAGTCAGTGGATTGTCTGGTCCAGACTTGATTATTTACAGACCCCCTTCATATAGCTGGAATATTGCCGAGTGCAGCGTTAAACAACCACCAAACAAACCAAATCACTTATGACCGAGCTACCTATCTCTTATGATCGGGGGCGGTCGGGTAGCCTAGTGGTTAAAGCGTTCGCTCGTCACGCCGAAGACCCGGGTTCGATTCCCGACATGGATACAATGTGTGAAGCCCATTCCTGGTGTCCCCCGCCGTGATATTGCTGGAATATTGCTAAAAAAGCCGTAAAACCATATTCACTCACTCACCTTATGATCGTGCAAGCAACATCATGTCAGCGAGACACTCTACAGTCCACTGTTTGAGCAGCATTACCCTACAATCTTAGAAAGTCAGGAACTGTTTCATCACCGCCAGCCTGCACGCAATATTTACGTCAGTCTTTTAATATTGTCATCACCAATAAAGATGTGGACTCATACAACAACGTGGAGTAAGGTAACAGTGAGTGAGTGAGTATAGTTTTACGCCGCTTTTAGCAATATTCCAGCAATATCACGGCGGGGGACACCAGAAATGGGCTTCACACATTGTACCCATGTCGGGAATCAAACACACGTCTTCTGAGTGACGAGCAAACGCTTTAACCACAAGGCTCCCCAACCGCCCCGAGTAAGGTAACAATTAGTTTGAATGAAACAAAAACAAAACAGTAAACTACCGTCATAACCAACTAAAAAGGACCAGTAATTTTACTTTGTTATACACGTAGTTTGTTTCACGCATTTCTATTGTCAGGCATCTTGGATCAAGTCATGTGACTCGATCAATAACAAAAGTGTGCACTGCATCATGGGTACTTTGTTTTTTCATCTCATACATCCATAAGTAAATACACGTTATAATTCTACATTCTACAGCCCCAGAACATTTTGTAATTATTGTTATAATTATTGTTATAGACGAATATTTTCTCTTAAAAGAAGAGACTGGAGATGCTTTTTAATATTTTTTTTCTACATTTTTGTCAAGACATCATGTCCAGCAAATATATATATTTATTTTGTTAAAACCTGAATGAAAAATAAATTTTGTAAATTCCAGGTCTCCACAGGATATTTGTTTAAGTGCAGGAGTTTATGGTGCAGCCGTAATGTTCCCATATACCTAGGCAGATGTCTGTTAAACAATTACTGGAATGTCGGAAGTTCGGATGAGATAAGGTCATGCTAAAGGATTGAGTGTAGGCTGTTGGTGGCTTAATGTCACTCAGTGGGAGACAGACATGCAGGGGATAGATGAAACAGCTTGTTCTAAATTTGGTGTGCAAATAACAACCTGATTTGAATGGTGAGAGGATGGTGTGATGTGTTGGGAGAGGCAAGTTGTGGTACTAGGACGAGGCAAAAGGATGGAGACGGAATACACCAAGTTGCAGGTCTCTATCGTCTTATCCTGAGGATACAAAACCCGAGGAACTAATGTGTGTGTGTGTTCTATATATAGGATTCATAGATTCAGAAACAGGAGTGGTGTATGCCAAGCATCGCCGGATGTAGATAAATGCTGCATGTGCACATTTCACCTGTCAACGTGAAGCTCAGAGCAAACGGTGGTGTTGTCAAAATTGACCTTCTGTGTCACAGGGACAGCTTGTGACCTTTAGAAGTCATCACTGACCAAAATCAGGAATAATACCAAAATCCATGGGAAAAAACAGCCAAAATTAAAACACAGAGAAAAGTTGCTTCTTTGTGTAAATTTAATTCCAGTTCAGTTGACATGTCTCTGTGAGAACCTAGGAGGTTGTAATGGAATTGTTCAACAAGAAATGCAGCATTGAATGTATACAAGTTAAATATTGGTCCTGATCTAACCTGGTGACTACAAGAGACTATAATGGGGTGTACAAAGAGTCAGCCTGCTCATACTGAAGTGTCACCGCATGGCCGCACTGCTGTGGATCGCACGTCCTACGCTAGCAGCCATGTGGGTGTACGCAAAAATCTCGATAGAGATATAACCCTGATATCTGTGGAAGGCTGGAAAATCACAGGTAAGGAGCAACCAGCATCTTAAACCATCGCTAGCATCAGGTTTCAATCATTTTTCACACTAATATACAACTTTGTGGATAACAACTTCTGGTTTCAAGTCTTTGAAAGACATTTGGAAGTGATACACATTCAGAAGAGAATTTATAGATGTCAACTTTATTATGAGTGAGTGAGTTGGGTTTTACGCCGCTATTAACAGTATTCCAGTTATATCGCGGCATGTCAGCTTAATGTGGGAGGAAAGCTCGAAGTGATGCAGGTCTCAGACGTTTACCACTTTGGTGAAACCCACGAGCACGGGTATGGTGCTGACAAACCTAGAAACATAATCGGGGCGAACCAGGATTCGAACCCACAATCATAGGTTTCTGACGTGCCCAAGGGACGCAACTCTGCACAGCGAACCGTGGTGCCTTAGACGACTGGGCCACCCGTAGCCCCACTTTATTTTGAGGAACACAATGTTTCAGAGTATATACTTACTCCTTCCTCAGATGAATGAATGCGGTGAGGCAGAGAACATATATAAGTACCTGTAAGACCAAGGAAAGTAATAAGATAACCAAGGTGAAAGGCATGCAAAAAGGTAACTAGCTCTGATAGGAGATTAGCAATGGACAAATGGAAGCCATCACTTAACAGTAAATTAGCGCAGATAGTTGATGGTGTTGGACAACTGGTAGCCAGGACTTAAATTATCACTGATTTGTAACAATGGGCAAACGGGAGGCCGGGGGTAGTTAGCACTGATAGGTCATAGAATTGAAATAGCAATGGAAAAATGGAAGTCAGCTAGATAATTAGCACGGACACTGATGTCATGATTTCTTCGAAGATTAGTGAGTGAGTTGGGTTTAATGCTGCTTTTAACAGTATTCCAGTTATATCACGGCGTGTCAGATTCATGTGGGAGGAAAGTCTGAAGTGATGCTGGTCTCAGAGGTTTACCACTTCGACGAAACCCACAAGCATGGGTATGGTGCTGACAAACCTAAAAACATAATCGGGCGAACCGGGATAAGAACCCACAATGATAGGTTTCTGGCGTGCCCAAGGGATGCAACTCTGCACAGCGAATCTTGGCGCCTTAGACGACTGGGCCACCCGTGCCCCCACTTTATTATGAGGAACACAATGTTTCGGAGTATATACTTACTCCTTCCTCAGATGAATGAATGCGGTGAGGCAGAGAACGTATATAAGTACCTGTAAGACCAACAAAAGTAATAAGATAACAAAGGTGAAAGGCACGCAAAAAGATAACTAGCTCTGATAGGAGATTAGCAATGGACAAATGGAAGCCATCATTTAACAGTAAATTAGCGCAGATAGTTGATAGCGTTGGATAACTGGTAGCCAGGACTTAAATTATCACTGATTTGTAACAATGGGCAAACGAGAGGCCTGGGGTAGTTAGCACTGATAGGTCATAGAATTGAAATAGCAATGGAAAAATGGAAGTCAGCTAGATAATTAGCACGGACACTGATGTCATGATTTCTTTGAAGATTAGTGAGTGAGTGAGTTGGGTTTAATGCCGCTTTGAACAGTATTTCAATAATATCACGGCGTGTCAGATTAATGTGGGAGGAAAGCCCGAAGTGATGCTGGTCTCAGAGGTTTACCACTTCAGTGAAACCCAAGAGCACGGGTATGGTGCTGACAAACCTAAAAACATAATCGGGGCGAACCAGGATTCGAACCAGGATTCGAACCCACAATCATAAGTTTCTGGCATGCCCAAGGGACGCAACTCTGCACAGCGAATCGCGGAGCCTTAGAAGACTGGGCCACCCTACTGCGAAGCTTAATAAACAAAGATAGCTGCATGTGTGCTGATACTCAACACAAGCCATTCTGCCGATAAGAACTATTACTTATAACCGGATAAGAATTGGCAGTCAGGTGACAGCGAGCGGTTATATTTAGCAGTGAACTTTGTCAATATTGCTTTAAGTTCTACATCTGCATGTTTTTTTGCTTTCGGTTCGTGCTGCAGGCGCTGCTAAATATAGCCTAACTATAGTCACCTGACTGCCAATGCTTACCCGGATTTTAGCCACGTGATCAAAACCCAATGATAATGCTTATCGCTATCAAAATGAACATTTCTTTAAAAGAGCACTCTGCAAAGTTTGTCTTTTCTGTAAGTAATGTTTCCTGTCGGCGGAATGGCTTATTTTCACTTGATAAGTATCGGCACACATGCAGCTCTCCTCCTTAATTAATCGGAGCAAAATATTTCGTGATTCGGTTTCAAGTTGGAAGGACTACAGATTCTTACAGTTATCAAGCTGGAGTAACGCTGTAAGTCTCTACATCAAAACGTCACTATGTGCTCTGAACCAAAAGTTGTTATCCATAAAGTTGTACGTTTTTCTTATTTACTCACCCACTTCTAGAATGCCAATCAAACAGTTTTCACACGCTGTTCCTCCTAGCCTTGAGCCAAGTCTGTTGTGAATAAAAAGTCCATGGATGTATAATAATTCTATCCTTATAATCGGCAAGTCTAGATAAGCCAACAGTTCAAGGGATAGTGATCTTTTATGGGGACAGCTTGCTCATTTTATATGTACAATCTCGGAATTATGATTTAAACTTATAATCATTTCCTTAGAGAGTCTATGTCCTCACCATTTTACTAACAGGGAGGTCGATGGTTCGATCCCCTGGTCACCTCTGTGGTGTAGTGGATAGAGTGTCTGTCTGGAGAGCGGAAGGTTGGGGGTTCAATCCCCTGGTCACCTTTGTGATGTACTGGATAGAGGGTCTGTCTGGAGCGCGGAAGGTCGGGGGTTTAATCCCCTGGTCACCTCTGTGGTGTAGTGGATAGAGTGTCTGTCTGGAGAGCGGAAGGTTGGGGGTTCAATCCCCTGGTCACCTTTGTGATGTACTGGATAGAGGGTCTGTCTGGAGAGTGGAAGGTCGGGGGTTTAATCCCCTGGTCACCTCTGTGGTGTAGTGGATAGAGTGTCTGTCTGGAGCGTGGAAGGTTGGGGGTTCGATCCCCTGGTCACCTCTGTGGTGTAGTGGATAGAGTGTCTGTCTGGAGAGTGGAAGGTCAGGGGTTCGATCCCCTGTTCACCTCTGTGGTGTAGTGGATAGAGTGTCTGTCTGGAGAGCGGAAGGTCGGGGGTTCAATCCCCTGGTCACCTCTGTGGTGTAGTGGATAGAGTGTCTGTCTGGAGCGCGGAAGGTTGGGGGTTCGATCCCCTGTTCACCTCTGTGGTGTAGTGGATAGAGTGTCTGTCTGGAGAGCGGAAGGTCGGGGGTTCAATCCCTGGTCACCTCTGTGGTGTAGTGGATAGAGTGTCTGTCTGGAGAGCGGAAGGTCGGGGGTTCGATCCTCTGGTCACCTCTGTGATGTAGTGGATAGAGTGTCTGTCTGGAGAGTGGAAGGTTGGGGCTTCAATCCCTGGTCACCTCTGTGGTGTAGTGGATAGAGTGTCTGTCTGGAGAGGGGAAGGTTGGGGCTTCAATCCCTGGTCACCTCTGTGGTGTAGTGGATAGAGTGTCTGTCTGGAGAGTGGAAGGTTGGGGGTTCGATCCCCTGGTCACCTCTGTGGTGTATTGGATAGAGTGTCTGTCTGGAGAGCGGAAGGTCGGGGGTTTGATCCCCTGGTCACCTCTGTGGTGTAGTGGATAGAGTGTCTGTCTGGAGAGTGGAAGGTTTGGGGTTCGATCCCCTGGTCACCTCTGTGGTGTAGTGGATAGAGTGTCTGTCTGGAGAGCGGAAGGTCGGGGGTTTGATCCTCTGGTCACCTCTGTGATGTAGTGGATAGAGTGTCTGTCTGGAGAGTGGAAGGTTGGGGCTTCAATCCCTGGTCACCTCTGTGGTGTAGTGGATAGAGTGTCTGTCTGGAGAGGGGAAGGTTGGGGCTTCAATCCCTGGTCACCTCTGTGGTGTAGTGGATAGAGTGTCTGTCTGGAGAGTAGAAGGTTGGGGGTTCAGTCCCTGGTCACCTCTGTGGTGTATTGGATAGAGCGTCTGTCTGGAGAGCGGAAGGTCGGGGGTTTGATCCTCTGGTCACCTCTGTGGTGTAGTGGATAGAGTGTCTGTCTGGAGAGTGGAAGGTTGGGGGTTCAATCCCCTGGTCACCTCTGTGGTGTAGTGGATAGAGTGTCTGTCTGGAGCGCGGAAGGTTGGGGGTTCAATCCCCTGGTCACCTCTGTGGTGTAGTGGATAGAGTGTCTGGTTGGAGCGCGGAAGGTTGGGGGTTCAATCCCCTGGTCACCTCTGTGGTGTAGTGGATAGAGTGTCTGTCTGGAGCGCGGAAGGTTGGGGGTTCAATCCCCTGGTCACCTCTGTGGTGTAGTGGATAGAGTGTCTGTCTGGAGAGCGGAAGGTTGGGGGTTCAATCCCCTGGTCACCTCTGTGGTGTAGTGGATAGAGTGTCTGTCTGGAGAGCGGAAGGTTGGGGGTTCAATCCCCTGGTCACCACTGTGGTGTAGTGGATAGAGTGTCTGTCTGGAGAGCGGAAGGTCGGGGGTTTGATCCCCTGGTCACCTCTGTGGTGTAGTGGATAGAGTGTCTGTCTGGAGAGCGGAAGGTCGGGGGTTCGATCCCCTGGTCACCTCTGTAGTGTAGTGGATAGAGTGTCTGTCTGGAGAGCGGAAGGTCAAGGGTTTGATCCTCTGGTCACCTCTGTGGTGTATTGGATAGAGTGTCTCTCTGGAGAGCGGAAGGTTTGGGGTTCAATCCCCTGGTCACCTCTGTGGTGTAGTAGATAGAGTATCTGTCTGGAGAGTGGAAGGTCGGGGGTTCAATCCCCTGGTCACCTCTGTGGTGTAGTGGATAGAGTGTCTGTCTGGAGAACAGAGGGTCAGGGAATTCAAGCCCCTGGTCACCTCTGTGATGTAGTGGATAGAGTGTCTGTCTGGAGAGCGGAAGGTCAATGGTTCGATCCCCTGGTCACCTCTGTGGTGTAGTGGATAGAGTGTCTGTCTGGAGAGTGGAAGGTTGGGGGTTCAGTCCCTGGTCACCTCTGTGGTGTATTGGATAGAGTGTCTGTCTGGCGAGCGGAAGGTCGGGGGTTTGATCCTCTGGTCACCTCTGTGGTGTAGTGGATAGAGCGTCTGTCTGGAGAGGGGAAGGTTGGGGGTTTGATCCCCGTCTGCATCATACCAGAAGACGTTAAATGATGGTACTTATAGTACTTGTAGCGCTGATCATTAAGGGGATAAAAAATTTTTGTGTAAGGACCGTTCAGGCTAGAAATATTGTGCCTGAATGAGGTATCCATGTTGAACCATAAGTGGATAGAGTGTCTGTCTGGAGAGCAGAAGGTTGGGGGTTCGATGCCCTGGTCACCTCTGTGGTGTAGTGGATAGATAAAACTGACTTAGTCCTTTCTAGTAAACACGAGTGTAACACGCATGTGTAAGAGTGAATATTATCCTACCCAATTTTTTATCCCGGGGATGAAATTCTCTAGTGTCAGGATGATTCTCCAGAGTGAATTTGGCCCCATACCAGTGTGTTTAATCCTATCAACATATATTTACCCCCACATTTCCCCCCTAATTTCTCAACCCACACCCCAACTAAATAATGCAAGTATCAACATAAATAACACTAGAATATTTTAACCTATTGCTAGTTTTATTTATCCTAGGATCGGATACACAAGTGAATTTTTACATTTGAACAATCAATTCAAATTCATAGGATAATATACACTGATTCAAGTTGGTGTTAATTATCCCAGGATACATTTTCCTATTTCCACTTAGGTAGGTTTCACTGGGATGAATTACCCTTAATTTTTGGACATAACCTATCCCAGATTTCCCACACTAAGGTAGGATACTATACTCCAGAGTAAAACTTCCCCCGGGATAACATTTAGGTAGGATATAATCCTTGCTTACAATTACAGCTGCAATGTGTTGTATTTACAGAACCTGACCCTAAGGAGGAGGTGCTCGGAGTGGAGAGCATTAACTTCAACATTGCAGAGAATACTGGCGCTCATCACACCTCTGAGTATGACATCACTGACCCAGAGGAGACCGAGGAGCCCAAGCTGGTCGTCAGACGTGGACAACCGTTCGACATCTCCATCACCTTCAACAAACCATACGACAAGGCCAAGGATGAACTGAAGCTAGTCTTCCAAGCAGGTAAGGCTGTCTTCACAACAAACCATATGACAAGATCAATTGTGTTATGTCTTTATAAGTCCAGTACAAGATATGTATGTAGATATAAAAGGAAAAAACACTCCAATTCTCAGTCGTCTAGTCATTACCTTTTCAATTAGTCCACATAATCACCAGATGTTGATTAGCCTCATAGATGCAACAAACTGGCCCCAGTGAGGGGGCAGATGGAGGGGTGACTTCCCATTCTGCCTACTGTCCCATTCTGCATACAGTAAAATGGGGGCGGTCGGGTATCCTAGTGGTTAAAGCGTTCGCTCGTCATGCCGAAGACCCGGGTTCGATTCCCGACATGGGTACAATGTGTGAAGCCCAATTCTGGTGTCCCCTGCCGTGATATTGCTGGAATATTGCTAAAAGCAGCGTAAAACCATACTCACTCACTCACTACAGTAAAATGATACGGTCTGATGCTTAGAAAGTGATGCATGAGTGAACATGACTGTCACCTATTTCTATTTTAGGAGATTCACTTGTCCATACTGAGACAACAAAACTGTAGGAGGATCTCATTGAGGGGGAACCCCCTTGAATCCTCGCATTTGATTGCATGATGCCGACCTTAACCTTTCACCTTGCAAAATCATCTGATGCCGACCTTAACCTTTCACCTTGCAAAATCATCTGATGCCAACCTTAACCTTTCACCTTGCAAAATCATCTGATGCCGACCTTAACCTTTCACCTTGCAAAATCATCTGATGCCGACCTTAACCTTTCACCTTGCAAAATCATCTGATGCCGACCTTAACCTTTCACCTTGCAAAATCATCTGATGCCAACCGTAACCTTTCAACTTGCAAAATCATCTGTGTGTGTAAATGTGTATGTACAATTTTGAGTTTAGCAAACAGCAAATATATGTACATATTATATAAGGACATGGCTCCATTATGACAGGCTCCGCCATCATGCATGATAGCGGAGCTTCAAATTAAGACAAGAGATATTATTGGATGAAATGGTCGCGGATGTGGAGGTACTGGTGGACTACGGCAATGAGCTTAACCCCTGTTAAGCAACCCCAACTGCAGCAACCGCTGCCAAGCAACCCATGTTGATTACCGATGCAGCATCTGCTGCCCCGCAACTACCGTTGCCAAGCAACCCATGTTGCTTACCAATGCAGCGCCTGCTGCCCTGCAACTACCGTTGCCAAGCAACCCATGTTGCTTACCAATGCAGCGCCCGCTGCCCTGCAACTACCGTTGCCAAGCAACCCATGTTGCTATGCAGCTATCGCTGCCAGGCAAGTACCATTGCCAAACCATGAGCGAGGGCAACTATTGTTGCCAAGCTGACCATCCGCTGTAAAGCGGACACTAAGCCATCTGCTGTAAAGCAGAATGGATAAATTGGTTCCTGCTGTAAAGCGGGTAACCCTATCCTAAATAATTTATAATTTGGGATGTATCCCAAGACGCCAAATGTAACTTGTAATGCAGTCCACCAGCACCCCGCCCATCCGCAACATTTTATTCATGACAACATCATTATATACAAACATTATGCTCCAGTAAAATTCCACCAATTGACAACTGCAAAGCTTGAATAACTTGGAATTAAGGATAACAGGGTGGGTGGGTGGGTGCAACGAACTATAGCTGAATGCGCGAATATAACTATGTGTTGTACGGCTGAAAGCTGGAGAGCAAGTGCTGCGTGAGCTGATGCCACGCTACAACAGGTCATAGAAAATATAAACAAACGCTCCTTTACCGGACGTGCCAAGAGCGGATCTAGGCCAGAGACGATGGCACCATGCAAAACGGCACGTAGCCGCACGGAATGAAGGTATTTAGCTGTAATAATATTAGCAACTGTGCCAAGCCTAACATAAAGGCATTTAGTTCTAATCACTAAATGCTATTATATAAGGACATGGCTCCATTATGACAGGCTCCGCCATCATGCATGATAGCGGAGCTTCAAATTAAGACAAGAGATATTATTGGATGAAATGGTCGCGGATGTGGAGGTACTGGTGGACTACGGCAATGAGCTTAACCCCTGTTAAGCAACCCCAACTGCAGCAACCGCTGCCAAGCAACCCATGTTGATTACCGATGCAGCATCTGCTGCCCCGCAACTACCGTTGCCAAGCAACCCATGTTGCTTACCAATGCAGCGCCTGCTGCCCTGCAACTACCGTTGCCAAGCAACCCATGTTGCTTACCAATGCAGCGCCCGCTGCCCTGCAACTACCGTTGCCAAGCAACCCATGTTGCTATGCAGCTATCGCTGCCAGGCAAGTACCATTGCCAAACCATGAGCGAGGGCAACTATTGTTGCCAAGCTGACCATCCGCTGTAAAGCGGACACTAAGCCATCTGCTGTAAAGCAGAATGGATAAATTGGTTCCTGCTGTAAAGCGGGTAACCCTATCCTAAATAATTTATAATTTGGGATGTATCCCAAGACGCCAAATGTAACTTGTAATGCAGTCCACCAGCACCCCGCCACAAGCACCAAGGTGCTTCCCCACAACCACGACCATTCGCGCTCATGTACACCCACCGTGTTATCCTATACTGAAAATGTTTCCTACAAACATACTGCGGAAAGGGAGCTGCCAATGTTTTGTGTGAAAAGATCAAGTCCGGCCGGTGACAAATGAACCCCGTCACGCAGGTACAGTTGCTGCTCCTGCCGGTTGAACACTGTGTGAGGAACCCGTATCCCCCCAAGCTCACGGGCCCTGTTCCCCACTCGTCTGTTCAGCTTCTGCCTGGCCCCGTCCAGGTCCCGGGCACGGCTGGCTACATGCCAGTACCTCCGTGGCAGCATGTCTGACCACAGAATGACAGCACCGGGTAGGAGGAGGTGTATCCTCAGGAGTGCAAGCTTGATCTCATGATATAGCTGACACGTGGTTACCTTACCCAGGTCGTTCGAACCAAGGTGAATCACCACCGCCTTTGGTGGTGTCTGCATTGCTTTGACCTGGGCATCTATCAGCTCGGTCAGCTCCTCCCACCTCATGCCGTCCCTTGCCAACCAGAGACATCCCCCTGGAATACCGAAGTCACTGTCCTGTAGGTGCTCTCTCGCCCGGGTCAGGAAGCTGGACCCAATCAACCATACTGAAAACATGAATCAATAGGAAGAAAACTGTTCTCGCATGGTTGGCGATTTAAATGTTTGCAGGTATGCGTATATAGCTTTTATAACATTCTGACCCCCACCTACCAAAGTGCTGTATCAAATCTGAACTCACTCCGTTACCGGCTGCTGTCGTTGCTGCGCCAATCCTGAAGGAATGAGAAGAGTATGCTGCTGTGCAGATGCCGCTATGCGCCAGTGCTCTTTTTAGCACGGCCTGAAATTGATACCTGGTCAGGGGAGATTTATCAAAGTGTACAAAAGCTTGAGTCTGACCCTGTGATTGAACTGTTAGGTATGCTTTAACTGCAGCCACTGGACACAGATTGTGGCCAGGTATGGCGGAAATGGAAACAACTATGCCATGTGAGTGCCTGTCGGTTTTTGAATGCCTTAGAGCGACTGTTACTGTCTTAGTCGTGTCTTGGACTTCTAGGTCCAAGAAAGCGCACCCTGGCTGAGAAAGTTTGGTTTGCACGAGTTCACTCACCCGAAAGAAACCAAAGAAGGCCAAGCAATATACTGCTTTGAACAATCTTACTTCATAGGTAGAAGAGCAGACAAATTGCAGGTTGTTTACAATTACTTTGAGCAGGTCTATTGTTATTGGTTTTCTGTGATCCTGCCTCCCCTGACACTTTTGCATCCCCGTAATCATTTTAGTAATAACAAAGTGGCCGGTGCGGTCTTCCATGCTGTGTAGCCTATGGTACGTTGAGATACCGGCCATATACGTTCTTACCGTACTCGGTGCATGTCCTGACACTGACAGGTGAGCAATGAAATGTACCAGATGAGTTATTGGAACCGGCCAGGCATCTCCCAGGTTTTGTGATGCCCTGAATACTTGCAACGCTTGGGTTCCTGCCTGGTAAGTTGCCCACGTGTTTGCCGCCAATGATCGCTGAAGGAGCTTCTCTGCCTCGATTGTTAGCCCTGCCAGAGATTGTCTGGAAGTGGTGTGGGATGCAGATTGGCTGATGGAGCTGCATTGCGGAATCGTTCCCACTGAAATCTCGACAGTGCATCTGCGATAATATTGTCGTGTGTTGTTATATATCTGGCCTTGAACAAAATGTTGTGTTTGAGGCACTGCAGCACTAGCTGCCTAATCAGTGACATGATTCTGGGTGCCTTTGAAGACTGTTTATTTATTATTGACACTACCGCTTGGTTATCACAAAAGAAAAGTACTTTCCTGTTAGCAAAGGCTGTCCCCCACAGACAAACTGACAGCACAATCGGAAACAACTCCAGCAGTGTCATGTCACGAGTCGAGCCGTCCTCCACCCACTCACGGGGCCAGAGCCCGTTTGCCCAGTTCCCGTTATAGTATGCGCCGAACCCCACAGTGCTGGCTGCGTCAGTAAACAGCTGCAGACATGTATTGTCAGCCCACTTTTGATTCTGAAAAACCGACACACCGTTAAATTCCCCCAAGAACCCGAGCCAAACCTCTAGGTCCTCCCGAACTCCCCGCGTGATGCGAACACGGTGTGCTTGATGACTTACCTTTGTATAGGCATCAATCAGTCTGCGGCAAAACGGTCTACCCATGGGTATTGCCCGGCACATGAAATTTAGCTTACCCACCAGAGACTGCAAAGCTTTACGGGTCACTTTGTGCTTACCTGAGGCCAGCATATCGTGTATGATTGCGTTGATATTTACAATCTTTTCCTGTGGTATTCTAACCTGCATCCTGACTGTGTCGATTTCAAGACCTAGGAATGTTAAGCAGGATGCAGGACCTACTGTCTTCTCATGTGCTACGGGTACGCCCAGCTCCTGGAAAGTACTGAGACATGTATCAAGGTTGTCACCACAGTCTTTCGTTCCTGCAGTTCCGCCTGTGAGAAAATCATCAAGGTAATGCATGAGTTGGCCGTTAGGCAACTTTTGCTGGACACACCATTGCAAAAAGGTGCTGAATTTTTCAAACACTGAGCATGATATGGAACAGCCAAACGGCAAGCATTTATCAAAGTAGTATTTACCTTGAAAGCACAAGCCTAGCAACTCAAAGTCCTGAGGGTGTACCGGCATAATCCTGAAAGCCGATTTCACATCAAATTTTGCAAGTAGAGCATTTGGACCAAGTTGCTGTACCATACTGACAGCCTCGTCGAACCGTGCATATGACACGGAGCATGCTTCGCTGTCTATGTTGTCGTTGATTGATCTGCCTTGAGGATAAGAAAGGTGGTGTATTAAACGAAAATCGTCTGTCCCCAGCAAGGTTTGACTCTTACCCGTTTGCTTTTTGGGTACGAGACCAATGGGTGAAACTTGTAGGTTCAGCAGGGGCGGCGTTTCAAAAGGACCTGCCACCCTACCTAATTTTACTTCCTTTTTCAATTTGGCAGCTACTATCTCTTGTAAAATGGGATCCCTGGCTGAGCGTAGATTCTCAGACCAACGACTTAGGCGTGCCCCACTATATTCCAGTTGAAAACCTGATTCCAAACCTTGTAATAAATAAATGGCATGGGCATGGTTAGAATGCTTGTACAGTTGCAAATGTCGCTTTAATCTAGTGAGTATGAGTGGAGTTGGGGCCAGTGCCTTTAGCATGGGTTGCCTGTGTGGAGTTAAGTTGTTTGGAGGGTCTACGACCCCCCTTTGCGCGAAAGCAAGAATAGGCGGGATGTTGTTCGCCACAATTGGAGCATTTATGAATAAACTTGCATTCTGGCCTGGCGCACCTTGACCTGTTGTAGTCCCAGCATGCGTTGACTGTAAAGTCACGGCCCCTGCTGAAAGGCACTGTAAAGCGTTCAGTCTTATTTTCTTGAACACGGGACATAGTCGGTGTCATGTGCTTCAACCACAATTCACCGTCTATCTTGCCCCACTCCCGAATTGGGTCTCGTGCCATACGGTGTCGGAATTGCTGGTCGTAGTTTGACCAGCCAAAACCCCCGGAGCGGACTGCGGCATTACGGATTGTTTCCATGTATGCCAACATGCCCTGTATGGTGGACTGACAAAAATGTTTCACCACGTAAATGCTCATATATATGTGGAAAGCTGACGTCCATTGGCCTATGCTTAATGCCCTGGCGTTAGCCGGCTTGGCCGGCGAGAATCGCAGATTACCCGACGAATCCATCTGCATCTTAAATGCATCGTCATCGTCATGCGACTGTGCGCCTGGCAACAATGTAGTCAACTCCACAAACTCCCCTCTCCATACTCTCTCCCGTACAACTTGACGGACGTGAGCGCTGATAGCATCTGCCTGGAAGGTCAGGGAATCCCCTGTTCCCTGATTGGTTGACCCCGCTCCTGACTCTGCACGTGGTGTGACGTCACGGGAAACTCCCGGCTCGCCCGAGTGTGCACTGCTAAATGACAACACATCGGGATTTCTTGACACCACCGACCCCGTTACCCCCAGATCATTGGTACTTACCCCTCGCATGCCAGTAAAGCTCCGAGAAGTATCTTGGGCCATCCGTTTGCCTAGCATATCCAGTATGCTGTTGAGTTGGCTCGATATAGCTAGCATCGACGGAACGGGCGACCCCACTTGTTGGGGCTCTTCGATGTCTCCGTGATCGAATCGCGGGAGAACGTTTGGATTGTCCGAATCATCTGCTTCAACTAGCAAGTTAGCAGCTATTTGTACACTTGGCAAGGGGGGTCCGTGCAATGGAGATCTAGCTGATCTCCGTGACTTACCAGTAGCCGATGTCGCTTGCCGGACACTTGGTTCCCTCCTGCCTATTTTCCCGCTCCTTACGAGGCGGTGATTTAAGGCGGCCCGTCTTTTTGGTGGCATTCTTAATGGTAATTGCAACGAACTATGCAACGAACTATAGCTGAATGCGCGAATATAACTATGTGTTGTACGGCTGAAAGCTGGAGAGCAAGTGCTGCGTGAGCTGATGCCACGCTACAACAGGTCATAGAAAATATAAACAAACGCTCCTTTACCGGACGTGCCAAGAGCGGATCTAGGCCAGAGACGATGGCACCATGCAAAACGGCACGTAGCCGCACGGAATGAAGGTATTTAGCTGTAATAATATTAGCAACTGTGCCAAGCCTAACATAAAGGCATTTAGTTCTAATCACTAAATGCTATTATAATTGCACAAAAACATTTAGGTCTTTGAATGGCATTTGGAAGGGATACACATAAGGAAAAGAATATATGGATGTCTGCTTCTTTATAATGAGGACGGGGCGGTCGGGTAGCCTAGTGGTTAAAGCGTTCGTTCGTCACGCCGAGGACCCGGGTTCGATTCCCGACATGGGTACAATGTGTCAAGCCCATTTCTGGTGTCCTCCGCCGTGATATTGCTGGAATATTGCTAAAAGCGGCGTAAAACCATACTCACTCACTCACTATAATGAGGAACACAATTTTTCTGAGTTCCTCATGATAAAGAAGTTGACATCAATAAATTCTCTTCCTTAATAAAATTTAGTTCCTATACTCAAAACAGCAACGGCCCTTATTTCTCAGGGAAATAGCATGCAATACAACAATTACTACTCCCTTCTTGTCGTCCATGTGTTATGCTAAAACCACACACCTGTGTATGTGTCGTCATTCACTTGATGCTCAGTTAATGACTATTACAGGTATAATTAGTAGTGGAACCACTCACATTACACTACAAAGACCATGCAAAATAACTCAATAATGTTCCCCCCTGCCTCTCAGGGTGTCAAGGTGAATAGCAGTTTGTGGCTCGCATATGACATTTCTTGTGTTTGGGGTAAATATTTAATTTTTAAGGTTGGTTATAAATCCAGGTCTGATGTTGTGAATGTGTTACATGTTATGTAAAATGCATGTTGCAATGCAGCAAGAGAGGAGTGGTCAGTTGATTTAAACATATTTTATTCAGATTGAAATGGATTGGGAACAAGTTATCCAACTTAGGACTCCCTCTCCATGGTATTTACAAAAGCTTGTACAGTAAATCATATACAAGGAAAACAGAAAAGAAGATTAGTGTAAAGATAACAAGAAACGTACAAAAGAGAGAGACTAGTATATGTACATTAAAGTGTTACCCAAATCTTATAAACATTTGCACTGCTTTAAAGATGTGTTGATTTTCGATAATGGACAAACATTCATTTCCGTTTAACATCAAATGTAAATCTAATTTAACATTTTTGTTCATGGCGTTCTGTAAAATGTCCCGAATTATTATTAACATAGTTTTTCTTTGGTGGACGTACAATGGACACTTTAATAAATAATGATATGCGTTTTCACATGGATCACCACATTGACATATTGGATCACATTTTATCTCTATTCTGTATAAATCATAATTTAACTGGCTTTCAGTGGTCAGTTGAGTTGCTGAATATAGTGATCAAAGGATTAACTGATAATACATTAGTTGATTAGACATCTGGTGCGTTAATCAACAAAAGTACACAGTTTGGCTGCAGCCCTATTGTATATGCTGTTAGGATATACGACTTCTCATTCTTCAGTCCTCCGATGGGAGTAGCATCATACAGCGCAGAGAAAATAGTGCTGAACATAAGTCAAACCAATGGATGATAAGATAAGATTAATGTATAAAGCTAACAATATAATGATGAAGCCTGTGGGATAGGAATAATGTACAAAGATATCTATATTGGCTTTGTCATTATATTCTAATCTTTGTACATTCATCGGATAGCCTTGTGGTTAAAGCGTTCGCTCGTCAGGCCGAAGACCGAGGTTCAATTGCCAACATGGGTACATGGGCACCATTTCTGGTGTCCCCGCCGTGATATTGCTGGAATATTGCAAAAAGCGGCATAAAACCATACTCACTCACTCATCCCACCCTGTATTGGGTAAGCATATCATGATTTATATATATTAACTCTATGACACTAATTCATCATTCTCCTGATGAAGGAGCAAGAAGTAGCTCTGAAATGTCATGACAAATAATATAGAAGTTGCTCTCAATAAAAAGTGTCCTGCATTCCTCTTGTGTTCAGGGTCGGTCAAGTAGCCTAGAGGTTAAAGCATTCGCTCGTCACGCCAAAGACCTGGGTTCGATTCCCGACATGGGTACAATGTGTGAAGCCCATTCCCCCCCCACCGCCGTGATATTGCTGGACCATTGCTAAAAGCGGCGTAAAACCATACTCACTCTCACTCGCTCGCTCGCTCGCCCGCCCGCTCGCCCGCCCGCCCGCCCGCCCGCCCGCCCGCCCGCCCGCCCGCCCGCCCACTCACTCACTCACTCACTCACTCACTCACTCACTCACTCACTCACTCACTCACTCACTCACTCACTCACCCGCCCACTCACTCACTCACTCACTCACTCACTCTTGTGTTCAGGGGAGAAGCCGGCACCTAGCAAGGGGACACACGTGGAGCTGATCCTCTCAGACAAGGATGAACCCAAGCAGTGGGGGGCGAAGATCAAGAGGCAGAGTGACAAGGTTCTCACGGTGACTGTGTTCACCCCACCCACCTGCTATGTGGCCAAGTGGAACTTCAAGCTTGATGTGTTGAAGAAGAAGGATGACAAGAAACTCATTTTTCGCTATAATCACAAAGACCAAATCTACATCCTCTTCAACCCATGGTGCCCAGGTGAGTTGTTGTTTTTTAGGTGTTGTTTGTGAGGAGTGGTTTGTAAGGTGTGGTTTGTAAGGTGTTGTTGTTTGTAAGGTGTTGTTTGTGAGGTCTTGTTTGTAAGGTGTGGTTTGTAAGGTACAGTGGTTTGTAAGGTGTTCTTGTTTGTAAGGAGTGGTTTGTGAGGTGTTGCTTGTAAGGTGTTCTTGTTTTTAAGATGTTGTTGTTCGTGAGGTGTTGTTGTTTGTAAGGTGTTGTTTGTACGATGTTTGTAAGCTGTTATTGCTTGTATGATGTTGTTGTTTGTAAGATATTGCTTTAACAGCCTTGTGTCAAAGTAGACACAATTTATGGATAAAAACTTCTTTAATATACCATTTTAGTGACATTTCAGTATAGATTCTTATACCACTCTCAAAGCAAGCATGTTGAAAAGGCTTGTCCAAAATTTTCATTGTTATAATTTTATTTTCCCATTTTTACACCAAAATGTATTCAGTAACAAATATAGATGCAAATCATATTGTCAAATGGTTAGAAAAGGATTAAGATTTTCCTCTTACGTCTTGTCTGTATTTCGATCCTGGATGTACCCAGGTATGCTGCCCAAAAGAAGTTAAAGAACACCAGATTTTCCATATGACGAAAGTTAATCTGTCATATTGGGTGTTCTTTAACTTCTTTTGAGCGGTATACTTCTACCAAGACCATGTACTTCAGTCCAGACATTTGGAATGAGTGAGTGAGAAGTATGATGTCACATTTCAAGCATGTAAGGCGGTCGGGTAGCCTAGTGGTTAAAGCGTTCGCTCGTCACGCCGAAGACCCGGGTTAGATTCCCGACATGGGTACAATGCGTGAATCCCATTTCTGATGCCCCCCGCATGATATTGCTGGAATATTGCTAAAAGTGGCGTAAAACCATACTCACTCACTCACTCAAGCATGTGAGAGACAAGATCTGGAGGGCTGGGTGTTTTCTTTTCCAGATGACATGGTGTATTTGGAAGGGGCCCAGGAGAAGGAAGAGTATGTGCTCAATGAAACTGGAAGGATATATTGTGGCACCTCTAAAAATGTCACCAACAAGCCCTGGATGTTTGGTCAGGTAAGCAGCTAGATTCCTCAGTCGACAAATGTCTTTTATTCCCTACCAAAACAAACAGTCTTCATGTTCTGAGGGTGGGCACCCGTGGCCAGTTGTCGCTGTGCAGAGCTGTATCCCTTGGGCAAACCAGAAACTAGGGCTGGGACGGGTAACTCGGGTACTCGGGTCGGGTGGGTCCTGAGTAGGACCCGGGTACCCACAGGACTACCCGGACCCGTGGTTAGTCACGTGACATATTGTTTAATGACAAAAACTCACTAGAGCTCAATGGTTACTCTACAAGTCGCTAATATTCCCAGTTCTTTATGATGATGCACACATTCCTTTTGACTTGTATATGTTTGAGTAAAGATAAAGCTTCAGTCAACTTCAGTGTACGCATGATTCAATCGTTTCATAAGAGACCATGTATCTATAATATGGTCTCTGGTTTCACACATGTATCTTAACAGTTTTTGCCAGGGCTCTTGAGACCTACAGTGGGTACCCGGGTAGGGTCGGGTAATAGGGGGCTGGGTACCCGGGTAGTAAATTTGGACTCGTCCCAGCCCTACCAGAAACCTATGATTGTGTCTTCAAATCCTGGTTTGTACTAAATATGTTTCTAGGTTTGTCAGCACCATACCCATGCTTGTGGGTTTCACCGAAGTGGTGAACATCTGAGACCTGCATCACTTCGAGCTTTCCTCCCACATTAAGCTGACCCGCCTTGATATACCTGAAATACTGTTAAAAGAGGCTCCCAACTCAATCACTCACTCATTTACTAAGCAGAACTCAAAACAGACTCTTTCCTATAAAGGGAAGGTACATAAATACTAACTGACTTTTACATCATCAAAGTGAGCTTAAGGCATGGGTCTTTGTTTGGGACGGGATGGGTAACTCGGGTACTCGGGTCGAATCGGTACTGAGTAAGACACGGGTACCCTCAAGATTATCAGGACCCGTGACTATATTGTTTAATAGCAAAAATTATCTCCATGGCTACACTATAAGTGACAGATGTTCACATTTCTTTCTGACTATGCACACATTCCTTCTGACATTATATGTTTGCATAAAGATAAAACTTCAGTCAACTTCGGTCAACTTTAGTGTAGGCACGACCAGATCATTTTATACGTGTATCTAAATACATTTGGCCAGGGCTAGGGTCAAACTATTCCCATTCAGACATTTTGTACCCATCTCTTGATACCTACGGCAAGTACCTGGGTAGGGTTGAGTAATAGGGGGGTGGGTACCGGGGTAGTAAATTTGGACTCGTCCCAGCTCTAGTCTTTATCCATTGTCCATCTGTTAATCTGTTCATTTATCTGCTCTGTGAAACTGATTTGAAAAACTCCTCCTCTGAAAAATATTGAACATATCAGAAGCAGATTTATTCAGTTTGTCTCTCTCCACAACAGTTGGGTGGCTGTGGAAGACCTTAAACACATGAAGCAATCATTTACAGAGGGGTACTTAATAACTCATAATATAACCGCCTCCGTGGTCTAATGGTAGTGCCTCTGCCTGGAGAGCGGAAGGTCCGGGGTTCGATCCCCAGCCGCATCATACCTAAAGACGTTAAAAGATGGTACTTGTTGTTACCCTGTCTGGCGCTCGGCATTAAGGGGCTAAAACAAGGACTGGTTGGCTCGGAGTCAGTATACTGTGTCTGAGTGGGGTATTCATGTTAAACTGCGGGATGGTATCTCAGTGGGCTAGCACTATAAATCGGCATCAGTCGGGACTAGTACAAGCAGGCACACACACACACACGTGCATACACGTCGCTTATAAGTGCAATAATCTTGGATGCGACGTTAAACCCCATTTCACCTCACCTCACCTAACTCATAATATATAATTTCCAAACTTGATCAACCAGCAAATACTGTTGAATGGTTAAGGCATCATGATCATCATCATGAAGATGGCCCTATTTGAAGCTTCAGTCATGTGATGTTTGGGAAGGGTCCATTTAAGTTCATTGCAGATTTCCATGCATTTTAGTTATGCTGATACACATATGAACAAAGAAGTTATCAAACTAGTAGCAAAAATACCCTTACCATATTCATATAAAATCTCTGCTAAAAGCTTGGGCGCGACGTTAAACCCCATTTCACCTCACCTCACCTCTGCTAAAAGGTGGGTTGATTCTGACTATACCCTTTCCATATTCATAGATTCTGACTACACCCTTTCCATATTCATAGATTCTGACTATACCCTTTCCATATTCATATAAAATCTCTGCTTAAAGCTTGAACACGATGTTAAAACCCCATTTCACCTCACCTCACCTCTGCTAAAAGCTGACTTGATTCTGACTATATCACGAGCATGTGTTCATGAATCACTATGAAATAGTAATGATACCAGGTGTTCGTGAAAAGGTGAGCATATCCAGCCCCACCAGTGGCTCCCATTACAAACACATGCAAAGGCAAGTCAATTGTTCATCTGAAAATACACAGGAACCTATGGTACAAGTCAAAATAGGGAACTGCATCTGGATCTGATGGAGGAAATTTTGTGTAGTTTCTTGAGTGGTTACAGATCTGTTCACGATTTCTGTTTTCACTGAATGTCCGACTGTCTGTTTCAGTTCCAAGGAAACGTTCTTGACTGCTGCATGTACATCCTGGACGAGACGAGGATGAGTTGGGCTGTACGGGGGAACCCCATCCCAGTTGTGAGGAAGATCACTGCTGCTGTAAACGCACCTGATGATTACGGTATTTTGGTGGGCAACTGGTCCGGCGACTATTCCGATGGGACATCGCCTCTTGCGTGGACAGGCAGTGTTAAGATATTGGAACAGTACTACGATACAAAGAATCCAGTCCAATATGGACAGTGCTGGGTGTTCTCCGGTGTCACGACAACAGGTTGGTTCCAGTTGGAGTTTTTTCAGATTCTTATGTGTCCATTCTCAAATAGAAACAATCTCATTAAAATCAAATCTTTGTACTCGCTACCGCTAAACAAAGATTGGAGGACATCCCATTAGGGGTCACGTCAGAACGACCTTTCATCCGACCAATCAGAGCGTCGCTTACCAGATCATGAAAGTGACAGTCGGAACGTGTTTTCTAATCATGCAACCACGAAATATTTGAGACAGGGTATTCCGAACGACAGTTACGGGTTTTATGATTATATCCATACAATCTGGGCCATCTATAAGCCATTCCAGAGTGTTCTTCTTATCAGTTTTAGTTTTTTTGATCGAGAATATACGTCAAAATATGTTTCGAAACGTAGTCGCCAGTTTGAAACTAGTGTCGTAAAGCTCGAGGAAGCTGCCTTCTGATTGGCTAATGTCAATTTCTTGTCATTCCATTGGTCGGTCAAAACTCGAGAAAGGTCGTTCTGACATGACCCGTAATGGGATGTCCTCAGATCTTTGTTTAGCGGTAGCGAGAACTAAGATCTCATTTTAATGAGATTGAAATAGAAACAATATAATAATCCGAAAATTTTGTATGTAAAAATGTCAATATACCTCAGATACACAACTACTGGTATTACAAGTTGCGAGAACTAACTTTGTATGTGACGTAGCAAGTCTGTCTGTGTAATGTCATGTTAAGTGGTGTACAATGTATATTAAATGCTAAAGAAGTCAGGAGTTCAGAGTTATCAAAAAGAATTTAGTGTGAAACCAACAAACAACCAACAAGTGGTATACAATCAACAAATGTATTACAAAATTCACTGAGTCTACAAATCAATACAAATTACTGTACAGTGATTACAATGGCAGTATACAACAGAGTGGTAGTACAATATACAATGGCAATAAATAATATGATGTCACTGGTCAATATCAAATACAAAAATACAGTGGTGATAGCAAAAGTCAGTGATAATAATGTATATTCACCCAGCGGTGACAGCGGTCAAGCTTCCAAGATGGCCTAGGCAGGGAATCAGGGATGATGTGCGACTTTCGCATGAAAGCTAGCTCCAAAGCTATGAAACGTGTGCGAGACGAAGTGTCTGAGAGAATGTGTGAGAGATGAAGCAGGCACGCTCTTGTCCCACTATGTATACAGTCCAACTAGCTTCCAGAACTTCCCGGAAGTTTACACACCACACATGCATCTGGTAACTTCCTGACGACTAGTGAGTGAGTGAGTGAGTGAGTTTGGTTTTTACGCTGCTTTTAGCAATATTCTAGCAATATCACAGTGGGGGACACCAGAAATGAGTTTCACACATTGTACCCATGTCGGGAATCGAATCCAGGTCCTCGGCGTGACGAACATTATACCAAGGTTCCGTCCGTCTGTCCGTCCAAATCCTCACGATTTCTCTTAAACTACTCAGTGGATTCATCTCAAACTTAGTACATATAATCTGTGTTATATGGAGGGGTGCTGTCAAAAGGAAAAAATTGTTTTTATTAATTTTCCATTTTTTTATGAATTTTTCAAACCCTTACCCTGTCCATTATTATCCCCCGCCGCGCGAAAGCGCGAAGCGGGGGATATAGTATTCACGACCGTCCGTACGTCCGTCCGTACGTCCCACCTGTTTGTTGCCGCGATATCTCAAGAACTAAACACTGGATTGTCTTCATATTTGGAACTATGGTGTATATACAGACTCCGCAGACACCAGTCGGTTTTGGTGACCTTGACCCCATTTTCAAGGTCACAGCAGGCATATCTGCTTTTGGAGTTGGAAAACGGTGTTGCCGCGATATCTCAAGAACTAAACACTGGATTGTCTTCATATTTGGAACTATGGTGTATATACAGACTCCACAGACACCAGTCGGTTTTGGTGACCTTGATCCCATTTTCAAGGTCACAGCAGGCATATCTGCTTTTGGAGTTGGAAAACGGTGTTGCCGCGATATCTCAAGAACTAAACACTGGATTGTCTTCATATTTGGAACTATGGTGTATATACAGACTCCGCAGACACCAGTCGGTTTTGGTGACCTTGATCCCATTTTCAAGGTCACAGCAGGCATATCTGCTTTTGGAGTTGGAAAACGGTGTTGCCGCGATATCTCAAGAACTAAACACTGGATTGTCTTCATATTTGGAACTATGGTGTATATACAGACACCGCATACACCTGTCAGATTTGGTGACCTTGACCCCATTTTCAAGGTCACAGCAGGCAAATCTGTTTTTGGAGTTGGAAAACGGTGTTGCCACAATATCTCAAGAACTAATCGCTGGATTGTCTTCATATTTGGTACTATGGTGTACAGGCGGGGGCTATTTCGTCACTCTGTGACAAATACTTGTTTAATTTGAAACTACTGACACACTTGGCGGGTCGAGGGCCACGCTCACTTTTGCCCTTTTTTTTTTTAGCCTTACTATCATATTTTTGCAACAGTTCCAAGCAGTCTTTGTTTTCTATTGATATATCAGTTTATGCTGGTAAGATTAGTATCAGTGTGTAAACCAGTGAATCCAATATGTTACAGTGTGCCGCGCTTTGGGTATTCCTGCTCGGAGTGTCACCAACTTCGCATCTGCCCATGACACGGATGGCTCGATAACAATCGACATCCACTTTGACGAAAGTGGGGATGCAGCTGAAGATATGAATGCTGACTCAGTTTGGTAAGTTTCCTACATATGCCATAGTTTGTTTGTTTGTTTGTTTGTTTGTTTGTTATTAAAGCCACACTCAGCGATATTCCAGCTATATGACAGCGGTCTAAATAAGCTAGTCTGGACCAGATGATCCTGTGATTCACATTACGATTAACGATCTATGCAGTTGGGATGCGATGACATGTTTCAACTAAGTCGGTGAGCCTGACCACCCGATCCCATTAGTCGCCTCTTACAGAAAGTATGGGGGTCGGTCGGGTAGCCTAGTGGTTAAAGCGTTTGCTTGTCACGCCGAAGACCCGGGTTCGATTCCTGACATGGGTACAATGTGTGAAGCCCATTTCTGGTGACCCCCTCCGTGATATTGCTGGAATATTGCTAAAAGTGGCGTGAAACAATACTCACTCACTCACTCACTCACTCATTATGTAACATTGTATCACTTATGTGCTCATGAGTTTTGTAAAGACGCAATTTTACCTTGTGTCTGTGTAATGTTTCATAATTTGACCTCAAGTGACCTTGACCTTATACAGAGTCACACAAAAGTTGAAGCGATCAAGATCCCACCTTAGAGATCATGTATGAGTTACCATGTACACAGTTTATTTGACACCTAGTTCATACTGAGTGACCTTGACCTCCAGTGTTGTCCAATCATATGTCAGAGACATTCCCACGGGTTATGTAGGATGTAGGGGACACGGGTGGCCCAGTTGTCTAAGCGCTGCGATTCGCTGTGCAGTGTTGCATCCCTTGGGCACGCCAGAAACCTATGATTGTGGGTTCGAATCCCTGTTCGCCCCGATTATGTTTCTAGGTTTGTCAGCAACATACCCATGCTTGTGGGTTTCACCGAATAGGTAAACGTCTAAGACCTGCATCACTTTGGGCTTTCCTCCCGCATTAAGCTGACACGCCGCGATATACCCGGAATACAGGGAAAAAGCAGCGTTACACCCAACTCACTCACACTATGGAGGATGTATATAAGGTATGAAGTCTCTGACATCTGTCATGAATGTTTGGTTGAAGGAATGAGTTGTGCCGGCAGCCCCTCTCTCCCCCCCCCCCCCCCTTACAAGATTAATAATAGTAGCAATAATTGTTGAAAGTATAAGGTAACTACTCTGAACCTTACTCGATTCTCAGCATACCTAGGGTTTGGGACATTGTCCTCAACATAAATACTCTGGACCTTACTCGATTCTCAGCATACCTAGGGTTTGGGACATTGTCCTATACATAAATACTCTGAACCTTACTCGATTCTCATCATACCTAGGGTTTGGGACATTGTCCTCAACATAAATTCTCTGGACCTTACTCGATTCTCATCATACCTAGGGTTTGGGACATTGTCCTATACATAAATACTCTGGACTTTACTCGATTCTCAGCATACCTAGGGTTTGGGACATTGTCCTCAACATAAATACTCTCGACTTTACTCGATTCTCATCATACCTAGGGTTTGGGACATTGTCCTCAACATAAATACTCTGGACTTTACTCGATTCTCAGCATACCCAGGGTTTGGGACATTGTCCTCAACATAAATACTCTGGACCTTATTCGATTCTCAGCATACCTAGGGTTTGGGACATTGTCCTCAACAGAAATTCTCTGGACCTTACTCGATTCTCATACATCTTCCTCAACATAACCATTGTGGACCTTACTCAATTCTCAGAATCCCTATGGTTTGGGACATCATCCGTAACAGAAATACTCTGGACCTTACTCGATTCTCAGCTTACCTGAGGTTTGGGACATCATTCTCAACAGAAATACTCTGGACCTTACTCGATTCTCAGCTTACCTGGGGTTTGGGACATCATTCTCAACAGAAATACTCTAGACCTTACTCGATTCTCAGCTTACCTGGGGTTTGGGACATCATTCTCAACAGAAATACTCTGGACCTTACTCGATTCTCAGCTTACCTGGGGTTACGGACATCATTCCCAACAGAAATACTCTGGACCTTACTCGATTCTCAGCATACCTAGGGTTTGGGATATCATTCTCAACATAAATACTCTGGACCTTACTCGATTCTCAGCTTACCTGGGGTTTGGGACATCATTCTGAACAGAAATACTCTGGACTTTACTCGATTCTCAGCATACCTAGGGTTTGGGACATTGTCCTTAACAGAAATTTTCTGGACCTTAATTGATTCTCAGCATACCTAGGGTTTGGGACATTGTCCTCAACAGAAATACTCTGGACCTTACTCGATTCTCAGCATACCTAGGGTTTGGGACATCATTCTCAACAGAAATACTCTGGACCTTACTCGATTCTCAGCATACCTAGGGTTTGGGACATCATTCTCAACAGAAATACTCTGGACCTTACTCGATTCTCAGCATACCTAGGGTTTGGGACATTGTCCTCAACAGAAATTTTCTGGACCTTACTCGATTCTCAGCATACCTAGGGTTTGGGACATCTCTCAAAGAAGTTATTTGTTGCCTCCATGGAGACGTAACAATCTCAACGGTGTTAGAAACTACACCAAAACATCGAAACACACCTCTCAAAGAAGTAGTGACATGCATCAACAGCAGTCACCTAAACGTTCAGTCAGGAGGACACCATGTCCCAGCAGTTGAAGTTGCCTATCACAGACCTCTCTCAGAATGGGGAGACTGCCTCTGTGGTCTAATGGATAGAGCATTAGTTCAAAGAGCAGAAGGTCAGGTTTGATCCCCGGCCGCTTCATACCAAAAGATGTCACAGATGGCACTTGTTGTTACCCCGTCTGTTTCGGCATTTAGGGGCTAAAACAAGGACTGGTTGGCTTGGAGTCAGTATACTGTGTCTGAGTGGGGTATCCATCGTAAAATGCCGCATGGTGAGCACATTAAGACAGTCATTAGTCCACACTAGTACAACCAGACACACACACGTACATGCAGTATCATGTCTGTACTTGAATTTTATCCCTCCAACCTTCAGTTCATGTTTTTATTCTATCAGAGAAATAGAAGTTCCCATAGCTTTCTAGCTCTTCTTTTTTCTGTATTGACCCCCTGTGTTGGTTTGATATCTTTGTAAGAGCTAACACTGTTTCCTACTAGAAATAGTCAAGCCTGTGATTGGTTTCAATTGAGGGTCAAGGTCAATAAACTGGGACCATAACTTTCTTGAGGTGGTCTTTGAAAGGCATTTGGAAGTTATACACATAAGGAAGAGTGAGTGAGTGAGTGAGTTTGGTTTTACGCTGCTTTTAGCAATATTCCAGCAATATCACGACGTGGGACACCAGAAATGGGCTTCACACATTGTACCCCTGTCGGGAATCGAGCCCTGGTCTTCGGCGTGATGAGCAAACGCTTCAACCACTAGGCTACCCAACCGCCCCCATAAGGAAGAGAATATATTGATGTCAACTTCTTTATTATGAGGAACACCACGTTTTGGAATATATGCTTTCTCCTTCATCAGGTGAATGTGTTCCTTATAATAAAGAAGTTGACATCCATATATTCTCTTCCTTTCTTGAGTTGGCTTCACACAAACTTAAGTTTGTCAATATACGATGTATGTTTATAAATATAAGTTTGTGTGTGTGAAAGCTGCCAAAAAAATTTGCAAACTAGTTTCTGAAGTTTGACAAAGTGTTGGCAGGAAATAGAATTGCTCTCAATTCTCACCAATATTTTGGCCAACATGTTTGTGTTTCCAAACTCAATTTTGACACGAGAAGCATTTTGAAACAAATATTGGTCAAGCACAACCCATCAGATGCTGAGTAGATATCACATGATTTTGACTTACATCTGCTATAACATGGCACTGGCACTGAGAGAAGTGAAGAGAGTCTATGCAACAACACAATTTGTGGTATGTATAGAACAAGCTGGAAATCCTTTTGGAGACTGCCAACCTGTGCTTGTAAATTTCTGTTGCTGGTGTGAAGCGAGATTTGTTAATGGGACTTTCCGCTGTAGAGCTGTGCTTCATTAGACATGTGTTTTCCCAAACTACAAGTTGAACCGGATGTGTGTGTAACTTTCTTATCAAGGTAGCCAGAGGCTCTGGCCTTTTTGTTTAGAGTGGACCTTCATCGGACATGTGTTTTCAATCAATCAATCACTTTAGACAAGAAGTGCCTTTTGCTTCAGTGTAGTTAGACGGCTGGGATGTTCTGGTGTATGGTTGTACTATGTGGGAAATGTGCTTTCCCAAACTAAAACTGATGTAATTAGTCTTGAAATGGGGTTTCATAATACTTTCATAATTAGGTATTGAGAGGAATTAGACCTTCTGGTTTCATAATTAGGTATTGAGAGGAATTGGACCTACTAATCTTGTACTCTAATCTTGTACTCTAATCCTGTACTCTATTCTTGTACTCTAAACTTGTACTCTAATCTTGTACTCTAATCCTGTTTTCTAATCCTGTACTCTAAACTTGTACTCTAATCCTGTACTCTAATCCTGTACTCTATTCTTGTACTCTAACCTTGTACTCTAATCCTGTTCTCTGATCATGTATTCTAATCATGTACTCTAATCCTGTATTCTAACCTTGTACTCTAATCCTGTTCTCTAATCCTGTATTCTAATCCTGTACTCTAATCTTGTACTCTAAACTTGTACTCTAATCTTGTACTCTAATCCTGTACTCTAATCCTGCACTCTAAACTTGTACTCTAATCTTGTACTCTAATCCTGTACTCTAATCTTGTACTCTATTCTTGAACTCTAAACTTGTACTCTAAACTTGTACTCTAATCTTGTACTCTAAACTTGTACTCTAATCTTGTACTTTAATCTTGTACTCTAATCCTGTACTCTAATCCTGTACTCTATTCTTGTTCTCTAATCCTGTACTCTAAACTTGAACTATAATCCTGTATCCTGTACTCTAATCTTGTACCCTAATCTTGTACTCTAATCTTGTACCCTAATCCTGTACTCTAAACTTGTACCCTTATCCTGTACTCTGATCTTGTACTCTAATCCTGTATCTTGTACTCTAATCTTGTACTCTAATCTTGTACTCTAAACTTGTACCCTAATCCTGTACTCCAATCTTGTACTCTAATCCTGTATGTTGTACTCTAATCTTGTACTCTAATCTTGTACTCTAAACTTGTACCCTAATCCTGTACTCTAAACTTGTACCCTAATCCTGTACTCTAATCTTATACTCTAATCCTGTATCTTGTACTCTAATCTTGTACTCTAATCTTGTACTCTAGTATGGTCTGAGGTTGCAGTAGAATGTATTCACCAAGCTGAAGGTAATGGATGTAATAATCCTATGGAGTCTTCTGGAATTGCCACACCAAGCCGGATGTAGCTTCACATGTTATTACCTGCTGGATTCTTTACAGCTACTGATTACGTTTTCTGCATGATAACATCTTGTAGTTTTTGTGATCCATTTGGATAATTTTCATCACTGTTTTGCCGTTTACACCCCATGGAATCAGTTTCGGCAGATTATTCTGTGGTATTGATGTTTTTAATTGTACAGGGAGATCCATGCTGAGGTTTGCACCTTGGTTCTTCTTGTTATAGGAAGAAAATTGGATATTCTCTTTTCCAACTAATAGCTATGTTTACTTGACCCTCAATGTCTTTCAGCTTAGCTGATCAGTGCATACCTCATCACTGCTAAACAACATATTGTTGTGTATGAAAAAACGCCCTTAAGCTTCGTGTCTTCCCCATTCATGTGATGTTCTATACCATTCTCCCAGCAAACCAGGAGCAGGGGTAGCCTAGTGGTGACATCTTCCCGAGGCAAGGGAATTAACTGACTATAGAAGTCCAGTTTCCACCCTTGCCGAAGTAGGCTGGTATTATGGAGTTACATTTTGGCTGGACTAACGATTTTATGCATAGTCCTATCAAAATCGCGCATCGAAATCTAAATCCGGTTCGTAAAGTGTCATGCAGATTTCTGTCGGCTGCAGGATTTGCAAAGCACGTAAACGGCTAACTCGTTGTCAGCAGCTATTTTCTAAATCTTTTCATGTTTTTAATCAAGGTGCTCACGTGAGTTGATGCACTTCGCGATGTAAGACTCGTTTTATCACAATATAGATCTTGATTATCGATCAGATCGTCTTGACTGGGCGCCACCGTTTTGTTTGAAGCAAATGCAAGTGATACGAGAGGTTGAATATGATTGGTCAATAGGAGAGGCATAGAAAGGACATAACTCGTAATAGCCACTGGTGGCGCTATGATCGAGCCCAGGAATTCAAGCCTAGTTTGGCAAGGGTGGAAACTGGACTTTTAAAGTCAGTTCACTCTCTTGCCTCGGGAAGATGAGTGGTGAAAGCGTTTGCTCGTCACACTGAAAACTGGGTTTGATTCCCCACATGAGGGCAATGTGTGAAGCCCATTTCTGGGATTCCCGATGTGATATTGCAGGAATATTGCTAAAACCAAACTCACTCACTCACTCACTCACTCCAAGGAAACAGAAATAAGCACAGAGAATCGGTGTGCTTTGGACAACTGGCGTTTCTCATGCAGGGAGAAAATTAACTAATTAACAGTGTTTCAGTTTCATCTAGTGACAGTTTGATTTTTTCCCTTCAACACTATAGGAATTTCCATGTGTGGAATGAGGCCTGGATGGCACGGCCTGATCTGCCAACTGGATACGGTGGCTGGCAGGCAGTCGATGCAACACCACAAGAGACAAGTGATGGTAAGTAAACATACACTACTCACAAGAAGTTACAGTTCACCTTATTTCATATTTCCATAGTTCTGTCATTTGCACAAAGACAGGGGCGGTCGCTAGCCTAGTTGTTAAAGCGTTCGCTCGTCACGCTGAAGACCCGGGTTCAATTCCAGACATGGGCACAATGTGTGAAGCCCATTTCTGGTGTCCATCGCCGTGATATATCTGGAATATTGCTAAAAGCTGCGTAAAACACTACTCACTCACGTTTGCGCGGAGAGGGAACCAGGTTAATAAAACGACCTTGAGAGGGGCCCAGAATGACACTAGTGGTCATGGATTATGATCCCCTGTGTTATTTCAGGACAAGATGAATGGCGGGTGGGTTATGGAGTGAGTGGTGATGGTTATGATTATACCGTATGTATCATAGACGGATCCAGAAGAGGGTCCTCCCACCCCTACCCTCGCCCTCACCCCCCTTTTGAAAACCAAAAGCAGTATGTTGTAGGCAGTAAAAATATCTGAGAGAGGATTTTGATATTTTGAACCCCTCCCTTTTAAGAATGCTGGATCCACCCTGTGTGTCACTGCTTCAGCTCTTGTGTGGGGGCGGTCGGGTAGCCTAGTGGTAAAAGCGTTCGCTCGTCATGCTGAAAACCCGGGTTCGATTCCCGACATGGGTACAATGTGTGAAGCCAATTTCTGGTGTCCCCGGCCGTGATTTTGTTGGAATATTGCTAAATGCAACGCTAAACCATACTCACTCACTCACTCACTCTTGGGTGTATGTGTGTTGTATGGCCTCTGAAATTTACTCTTCTACACAAAAGGTTTATATTTGATATGCAGGCAGACTTGGGCTATGGTTTAACCAGGGCAGTACGTATAGGATAAAACAAGTCCGAGGGTTGTTATGATATTTAAAACCCGCATCCCATGGGATTTTCCGAGGGAAGGGGTTTTAAATATCATAACAACCCGAGGGGAAGTGTTTTATCTTACTTATAAACCGATTTGAACCTTAAAATTATCCCCAAACTAAATTTCAACCCATTATAAGTGTACAATAAAGCATGTCCAAGGGTTCTTATCACATTTAAAACACGCATCCCAAGGATAACGGTTTTAGATATCATAAAAACCCGAGGGGAAGTGTTTTATCTAACTTATGAACCGAAAAAAGAAACTTAAAACAACATTTATCAACATTTTTATGTTTCGAACATACTTTCCATGAACCTTAGGAAAGGGGCGTAAAATATCTGTTGCTGGCATACGGATCTTGAAAAGGACATTCTAAAAAGCTGTACGCCTTATCAACACCTCCGTAGCCTCGTGGTACACTCACTGGGCTACAGATATAAAGGTTGCGAGTACAATACGGGAATATAAAGAAAACATTTGTCATTTGATTTTACATTTCATTACATGTTACAATCTGAACGGAAGTTATATTAATAAAATATCCAGGACATTGTATAAAATCCCTGGGATATTATAACACATTATATAGCAAATATGACTTGAGTATCCTATAAAATCCCGGGGGATATTATATAAAATTGCAGGGACATTACAACGTCCCTGTTTATGAGATTTAACCCAACTGGAGAACAATAGGATGACGTCACCAGAGGTTTATAATTGATGTGACAGGCAGACTTGGGCTATGGTTTAACCAGGGCAGTACAGAAGATTTATTCAATGATTGTCCTTCCAGGAATCTATTGCTGTGGTCCTGCCCCTGTGCTTGCTATTAAACGGGGAGAGGTCAACCTTCCATATGATGGTCAATTCATCTTTGCTGAAGTGAATGCTGACAAGGTGTATTGGTCCATCAATAAAGATGGTACTTTTGAGAATGTCTTCGTTGAAAAAAAAGGGTAAGGATTTCTTCGTTTGATCTCTGAAACAATCAGCCAGTATTGAAGAGGTCAAAGGTCACAGGACCAGTCTGGAAGTGGCTAGACAATAACTGGGGGCTTTACATCAGGGGATCTTACATCAGGGGACTTTACATCAGGGGGCTTTACATCAGGGGACCTTACATCAGGGGACCTTACATCCCTTACATCAGGGGACTTTACATCAGGGGACTTTACATCAGGGGACCTTACATCAGGGGACCTTACATCCCTTACATCAGGGGACTTTACATCAGGGGACCTTAAATCAGGGGACCTTACATCAGGGGACTTTACATCCCTTACATCAGGGGACTTTACATCAGGGGACTTTGCATCAGGGGACTTTACATCAGGGGAGCTTACATCAGGGGACTTTACATCAGGGGACTTTACATCCCTTACATCAGGGGACTTTACATCAGGGGACTTTACATCAGGGGACCTTACATCAGGGGACTTTACATCCCTTACATCAGGGGACTTTACATCAGGGGACTTTACATCAGGGGACCTTACATCAGGGGACTTTACATCCCTTACATCAGGGGACTTTTCATCAGGGGACTTTACATCAGGGGACTTTACATCAGGGGACCTTACATCAGGGGACTTTACATCAGGGGACTTTACATCAGGGGACCTTACATCAGGGGACTTTACATCCCTTACAGCAGGGGACTTTACATCAGGGGACTTTGCATCAGGGGACTTTACATCAGGGGACTTTACATCAGGGGGCTTTACATCAGGGGAGCTTACATCAGGGGACTTTACATCAGGGGACTTTACATCAGGGGACCTTACATCAGGGGACTTTACATCCCTTACATCAGGGGACTTTACATCAGGGGACTTTACATCAGGGGACTTTGCATCAGGGGACTTTACATCAGGGGACTTTACATCAGGGGACTTTACATCAGGGGAGCTTACATCAGGGGACTTTACATCAGGGGACCTTACATCAGGGGACTTTACATCCCTTACATCAGGGGACTTTACATCAGGGGACTTTACATCAGGGGAGCTTACATCAGGGGACTTTACATCAGGGGACTTTACATCAGGGGACCTTACATCAGGGGACTTTACATCCCTTACATCAGGGGACTTTACATCAGGGGACTTTACATCAGGGGACCTTACATCAGGGGACTTTACATCCCTTACATCAGGGGACTTTACATCAGGGGACTTTACATCAGGGGACTTTACATCAGGGGACCTTACATCAGGGGACTTTACATCAGGGGACTTTACATCAGGGGACCTTACATCAGGGGACTTTACATCCCTTACAGCAGGGGACTTTACATCAGGGGACTTTGCATCAGGGGACTTTACATCAGGGGACTTTACATCAGGGGGCTTTACATCAGGGGAGCTTACATCAGGGGACTTTACATCAGGGGACTTTACATCAGGGGACCTTACATCAGGGGACTTTACATCCCTTACATCAGGGGACTTTACATCAGGGGACTTTACATCAGGGGACTTTGCATCAGGGGACTTTACATCAGGGGACTTTACATCAGGGGACTTTACATCAGGGGAGCTTACATCAGGGGACTTTACATCAGGGGACCTTACATCAGGGGACTTTACATCCCTTACATCAGGGGACTTTACATCAGGGGACTTTACATCAGGGGACTTTACATCAGGGGACCTTACATCAGGGGACTTTACATCCCTTACATCAGGGGACTTTACATCAGGGGACTTTACATCAGGGGACCTTACATCAGGGGACTTTACATCCCTTACATCAGGGGACTTTACATCAGGGGACTTTGCATCAGGGGACTTTACATCAGGGGACTTTACATCCCTTACATCAGGGGACTTTACATCAGGGGACTTTACATCAGGGGACTTTACATCCCTTACATCAGGGGACTTTACATCAGGGGACTTTGCATCAGGGGACTTTACATCAGGGGACTTTACATCCCTTACATCAGGGGACTTAACATCCCTTACATCAGGGGACTTTACATCAGGGGGCTTTACATCAGGGGACTTTACATCCCTTACATCAGGGGACTTAACATCCCTTACATCAGGGGACCTTAAATCAGGGGACTTTACATCCCTTACATCAGGGGACTTTACATCCCTTACATCAGGGCACTTTACATCAGGGGGCTTTACATCAGGGGAGCTTACATCAGGGGACTTTACATCCCTTACATCAGGGGACTTTACATCAGGGGACTTTACATCAGGGGACTTTACATCCCTTACATCAGGGGACTTTACATCCCTTACATCAGGGCACTTTACATCAGGGGACTTTGCATCAGGGGACTTTACATCAGGGGACTTTACATCAGGGGGCTTTACATTGGGGGAATTTACATCAGGGGACCTTACATCAGGGGACTTTACAACAGGGGGCTTTACATTGGGGGAATTTACACCAGGGGAGTTTACATCAGGGCACTTTACATCAGGGTGCTTTACATCGGGGGACTTTACATCAGGGGACTTTACATCAGGGGACTTTACATCAGGGGACTTTACATCAGGGGAGCTTACATCAGGGGACTTTACATCAGGGGACTTTACATCAGGGGACTTTACATCCCTTACATCAGGGGACTTTACATCAGGGGACTTTACATCAGGGGAGCTTACATCAGGGGACTTTACATCAGGGGACCTTACATCAGGGGACTTTACATCCCTTACATCAGGGGACTTTACATCAGGGGACTTTACATCAGGGGACTTTACATCAGGGGACCTTACATCAGGGGACTTTACATCCCTTACATCAGGGGACTTTACATCAGGGGACCTTACATCAGGGGACCTTACATCCCTTACATCAGGGGACTTTACATCAGGGGACTTTGCATCAGGGGACTTTACATCAGGGGACTTTACATCCCTTACATCAGGGGACTTTACATCAGGGGACCTTACATCCCTTACATCAGGGGACTTTACATCAGGGGACTTTGCATCAGGGGACTTTACATCAGGGGACTTTACATCCCTTACATCAGGGGACTTTACATCAGGGGACTTTACATCAGGGGACTTTACATCCCTTACATCAGGGGACTTTACATCAGGGGACTTTGCATCAGGGGACTTTACATCAGGGGACTTTACATCCCTTACATCAGGGGACTTAACATCAGGGGGCTTTACATCAGGGGACTTTACATCCCTTACATCAGGGGACTTAACATCCCTTACATCAGGGGACTTTACATCAGGGGGCTTTACATCAGGGGACCTTAAATCAGGGGACTTTACATCAGGGGACTTTACATCCCTTACATCAGGGGACTTTACATCAGGGGACTTTACATCAGGGGACTTTACATCAGGGGACTTTACATCAGGGGACTTTACATCCCTTACATCAGGGGACTTTACATCAGGGGACTTTACATCAGGGGACTTTACATCCCTTACATCAGGGGACTTTACATCAGGGGACTTTGCATCAGGGGACTTTACATCAGGGGACTTTACATCCCTTACATCAGGGGACTTTACATCAGGGGGCTTTACATCAGGGGACTTTACATCCCTTACATCAGGGCACTTTACATCAGGGGACTTTACATCAGGGGGCTTTACATCAGGGGACTTTACATCCCTTACATCAGGGGACTTTACATCCCTTACATCAGGGCACTTTACATCAGGGGACTTTACATCAGGGGACTTTACATCAGGGGACCTTACATCAGGGGACTTTACATCCCTTACATCAGGGGAGCTTACATCAGGGGACTTTACATCAGGGGACTTTACATCCCTTACATCAGGGCACTTTACATCAGGGGACTTTACATCAGGGGACTTTACATCCCTTACATCAGGGGACTTTACATCCCTTACATCAGGGGAGCTTACATCAGGGGACTTTACATCAGGGGACTTTACATCCCTTACATCAGGGGAGCTTACATCAGGGGACTTTACATCCCTTACATCAGGGGACTTTACATCCCTTACATCAGGGCACTTTACATCAGGGGACTTTGCATCAGGGGACTTTACATCAGGGGACTTTACATCAGGGGGCTTTACATTGGGGGAATTTACATCAGGGGACCTTACATCAGGGGACTTTACAACAGGGGGCTTTACATTGGGGGAATTTACACCAGGGGAGTTTACATCAGGGCACTTTACATCAGGGTGCTTTACATCGGGGGACTTTACATCAGGGGGAGTTTACATCGAGGGACTTTACATCAGGGGGCTTTACATCAGGGGATGATTTCCCATATGGGTCCAATTTGTAAGTCCCATTTCTAGTGTCCTCTGTCATGATACTGATGGGATATTGTTAAAAGTGGTGAAAAGAACAACTACATGTATACTCAATCACTTGTTCTGTGTCCAATCAGCTTGGGTACAGTGTTGCGAGATTCCTGTTCTATATTTGGCTGACTCGGTGTTTCAAGTGTGAGGAGAACCAGCTGTATGCTGGTCTCAAACCCTGAGGACTTCATGTGAGGATCATGGCTTTCTGATGGGAAGGGTTCACAGTGCATCATGTTATGTATGTCAGTCAGTGCTTGCCATAAAGGCAACTATGCTTGTCGTAAGAGGCAACTGACAGGATTGGGTGGTCGGGCTCGCTGACTTGGTTGATGCATGTCATCGTATCCCAATTGCATGGATTGATGCTCATGATGTCAATCACTGGCTTGACTGATCACTCGAATATTTACAGGCCGCCATCATATAGCTCGAATATTGCTGAGTGTGGCGTTAAACAACAAACAAACAAACAAACATCTTGCACATGGCATGTGAATAGAAAATCTCACCCTGATGAAACTTACATATCAACACCCGTCAATAAAAATCTAAATCTTGGCAAACCTCAGAGTTTTAAACATTTGTTGATTAGTGTTGATATGTTTGATATCAATATACATGAGGGTGAGATTCTATTTATCATCCTTAATCATTTTTTAGTTTGTAAACATTAATAACCAACGTTTGAGTGTAAAAGATATTTAGCTAACCAGCTTCAGTGGCAGAGAGATTAGTGATGTCATCAGACCTACAGATAAGCAGTGTATTTGCGTAAAATACCCCAAAATATTCAAAACCCAATTACTTTCAATTAACTTGCATACAGAAATGCATGCATTAAGTGAAAAACACAAATGTATAAAATCAGCTTGCGTAAATACCCAATGAGACTTTTTAAGCATGCGTCCAAAGGCGTTAATTTCCGAAACACAATTATGATCTAATTTACTTTCCGAGTCAAGCTTATATATTTAGGACAGTTATGTACATCTAAAACATTATTTCATTTTTTTTAAATCTTAAATGTTCACTCATTTTCGGAAAATCCCAATAGAGTGGTGAATAGATGAGAGAAAAAATATTGGTTACCCAATGAAAAATGTCTTAAACCCTAGAGTAAAAACTCAATTGCTCAAAAAGTTATCTGGAGCTCTGTGTCATATGATTGTGATGTCATGGTATAGCATGATGTCACAATGGAATAACTGGACTCCTGATCAAAGTGGCTTTGAACTCAACTCACTCACTTACTCATTCACTATTTCTAGTGTTGGCAAGGAGATCAGCACAAAGAGTATGTTGGACAGCCAGAGAGAGGTCGTCACTAACGCTTACAAATTTTTGGAAGGTATGTAATTTGATGTGTAATAAACTGAAAGGATATAGAAATGGGCTCCATCCGTCTGTCCGTGCGTCTGGCGTGTGTGTGCGTGTGTGTGCGTGTGTGCGTGTGTGTGCGTGTGTGCGTGTGTGTGCGTGTTAAATATTTCTCTACGAAACTTTGCATGTCTATCAGACTCACGCTGAACTGGTGCCCTTTGCTACTTAGGAATTTTAGAACATTATATTTTTTACGTTTCCATGGCAACAAGCTGGACTTTTGGGTAGAGTTCGTTTCCGGAGCATAACTCAAAACCCACTCAATACTTTCTAACAATACTTTGCATGTTTACCAGACATATACTGATCTGGTGCCTTATGCTATTTAGGAATGTTAGAAATTTGTATTTTTTATGTTTCCATGGCAACAAGTTGGACTTAGGTTTTATAAGGGTGGTGTTTGTTTCCGGAGTGTAACTCAAAAAATGTTATATACTTTCTAACAAAACTTTGTCTACCAGGCACGTACTGAACTGTTGCCTTTTGATATTAAGCACTTTTAGAAAATTTTATTTTTTACGTTTCCATGGCAACAAGTTGGACTTAGAAAACAATAAGGGTAGGGTTCAATTCCGGATGAAATTTTCCACATCTATCAGACACATGCTGAATTGTTGCCTTTTGCTATTTATGAATTTTAGAAATTTGTATTTACTGGGCATTATTTCCAGAAATATTTCATTGCCAAACATTGCATGTCTATATATAAAGCACATACTGAACTGGTGCCATTTGATATTAAGGAGTTTTAGAATTGTTTATTTTACAATTTCCATTGCAGCTATTTTGACATGGGCTAAGACAAATGTTGGGTGAGTTTCCTGGTTTGGGACCATAGTGTGTTAAAATGGGCGGGGGATATAGATGACCTTGTCGACTACCATATATGACAGCGTATAAGCCGAATTTTGAGGACCAGAAAAAAGATTCTGTAGCTTCCCACATTAAGAAAGTGGATGACTGGTTTGTTAAATCTTTATTAGAAATAATAATGACTTTTTCAATATAATTACAACGTTTTTCATGTTATATTTTTGAATATCTGCGAGTACCGGCACATGTCTTGCAGTCCGACTTTGCAGTGTTTTTTGTCTTTCAATTCCTGATTCGGCTTATCTGCGGGTCATATCATTTTCTTTCGTATTTCAATGGTCAAATTAACACCTCGGCTTATCTACGGGGTCGGCTTATCCGCGGTCATATACGGTATACGCTTGTTCTTTGTACAGGCAGCGATGAGGAGAGAGTGGCAGTGTTGAAGGCTAACCAGGTCGGGTCCTGCCGCCAGGACATCTATGTGAAAGGAACTGAGGTAAAGTCATTTAAATTTACTTATGCAAAATGACTGTCATTGTGGTGAGGTGAAGGGGGGTTTAATGGTGTTTAATGCGTGCGTGCGTGCGTGCGTGCGTGCGTGCGTGCCTGCCTGCCTGCCTGCCTGCCTGCCTGCGTGCGTGCCTGCGTGCGTGTCTGCTTGCCTGTGTGCCTGTGTGCCTGTGTGCCTGTGTGCCTGCGTGCCTGTGTGCGTGCGTGCATGTGCCCACTAAGATACCATGTCAAGTTTAGCATGGATACCCCACTCAAACACACAGTATGCTGACTCCAAGCTGACCAATCCTTGTTTTAGCCCCTTAATGGCAAGCGTCAGGCAGGGAAACAAGTACCATGTTTTAACATATGATGTGGCTGGCGATCAAACCATCGACTCTAAAGAGGGAGACTTCTATTATAAGCAGCCCTATAAAAATGGGGTTGCTTTAAAGATTTGTCTGAATTTTATTGCTGTCACAGATTCTCAGAGAAATGATGTCATTTATTTTTTCTTTATCATGTTTTTAGCACTGAGAAATACTTTTGAGACATTGATAATTCATGTCAAGGGTCAAGGGTCAAGGTCATCCTCAAAGTCATAGACTGTGGAAGGTTTATTTTGAGAAGGATTTACTGAATGGCAATTAAATTTGGTACATGTCTTCATTAAGGCAGCACCCAGATCAGAAAAGGTCTTTAGTGACCTTCATATAAGGTCAAGGTCATTCGTACAGTATGTTTGTCATTTTCATTAAAACACCTTTTTCTGCAGATATTTATGGAAATCATGTTGTTATTTTTTTTGTTACATGTGTATCCCATTGGGTACTTATTATGCACCTCTCCTTACAAGAGCGACCGTCACTGTGGTCTGGTGGTAGAGCAGAAGGTCCAGGGTTCGATCCCTTGGCCGCGTCATACTAAACAACGTTAAAAGATGGTACTTGTTGTTACCCTGTCTGATGCTTGCCATTAAAGGGCTAAAACAAGGATTGGTCAGCTCGGAGTCAGTATACTGTCTCTGATCGGGGTATTCATGTTAAATTGTGGCATGGTATCTCAGTGAGTTAGCACTATAAATCGGCATCAGTCCAGACTAGTACAAGCAGCCACACGCACGCACGCACGCACGCACGCACACACACACACACACACACACACACACACACACACATTAACACTATGTCACCTCACCTTACTAAAGCAGTTTTGTTATTAAATTGACATGAGAAAATTCAAACAATATTATATGTGCTTTGCTTTTGTATATCTGTTTTTCTTTGCCTGGGAGACAAACACGAGTGTCAAAGGATTCAGTATTAAGCGTACATATCCATTGAAACTATAGAATGGAGTTGGCATTAGGAAGGAAAAAAAAAAGAATATGTATATTTTCCAGAATCATTGTCAAAACAGCAAAGTATTTTATTCTTTTTGCAGGTGGGGTTTGAAACTAATCTGCCTCATAAATATGTTTGTTATTTGTCATGTTGACTTGCCCATTGTATAAACAGGACTTATCTCTAGTCACAGCTCCTCAGATAACAATAGTATCACTTTCTGAGTAAACAACCCTCAAGGTCATATATGCACATATTTACTTTGAACACTTTATCGTATATCCTCATTATTGCAAAGTTTTTTTTCTCTACATTCCTAAACACAGTTGATGTGTTTTAATGCCAAAGAATGTTGGGGTGTATTTAAATAATTGTAATGATTTATTTGGACAAGACACTAATATGTATACATGAGCAAATATGATGTTTGTTTAACGTTGCAATCAGCCAAGTCGCTCAGGTGGTATGGGAGATTTTGATAACATTTCCTGCATCTATTAGCCTTGCTGCAAGGCTGTACTCAAAGAAAAGTCCATGGATGTGTAGTAATTCTATTCTCCTAATGGGCAAGTCTAGAAGGACTCCAGTCTCTTATAGGGACAACTAATTCTTATTAGTTACATAATCAAGTAATTATGATTTAAACTAATAATCATTGCTTTGGAAACTTGTGCAAGTCTAGGCATCTAACAGGGATAGAGGTTACACCCAAAACATTCTGTACCCTTGGCCACTGTATTTGTTCTGAAACTAACACCCGTTGCAGTTAGACTTTTGTCATACAGAGAAGATTAAGCTGATAAATATTCCAGCTCTCCCTAATCATTGAATGAACTCTCACATTGTTAACATAATACTATCTTTTCTTATATCAATGGATTAGGCTATTCACTAAAAAGGGGGTAAGGAACCCATTATGGCGTCGAGTCAAGACAGACCAGAGCCTGTGTAAAGACGATTGATTGATTAACAAATGTCAATCTGACCTGAACGTATGTGTGTTTGAGCCAATCAGAGCGCTGTATTTCCAATGTGACCTTGACCGTGGGAACACAAGTTACGTCCTCAGACATTCAATGCATGGTAAGGGCAGACATATAGATGTATGCAAGGTTTTAGGTCACTGGACGATTAATGCTTCGATTCAGCCATTTTGACATCTAGCAGACGACTCAAACTAAATTACTTCCCTTTACCAAAACATTTAGATAAACATAGTTCGTTTTAGCTTAACGATACTTATCTGACATAAGCATGTTATATAGCATGTGTTCCGATTGATTTCTCAGCGGGCAACATGAGCGGGCTACACGAAAATAATTGCAGGCTCTTTAACCAATCAGAAGCTAGTATTTTAATGTCAGGTGAGATTAAGCTTTTCATACCTCATTGTTGAGAGGGAGGGGAATAAAAGTATCATTTTTACCAATGGCTGTCAGTTGCTAGGCTCAACAATCGCTACATGTATCATTATTAATGTCATAGGGCTGGGACGAGTCCAAATTTACTACCCAGGTACCCACCCCCCTATTACCCGACCCTACCCGGGTACCTACTGTAGGTCTCAAGAGATACAAAATATCCGATTGGGAATTTTTTTTAACCACAGCACTTGCAAAACATATTTACGTACATGTATTAAACGATCTGGTCATGCATACACTGAAGTTGACTTAAGTTATATCTTTATTCAACCATATGAAATGTCAGAAGGAATGGGTGCACAGTCAGAAAAAAATGCGAACATTAGTAACTTGTAATGTAACCATAGAGTTCTAGATAATTTTGGTCATTAAACAATATATCACATGACTAACAATTGGTCTGGGTAGTCCTGTGGGTACCCGGGTCCTACTCAGTACCCACCCGACCCGGGTACCCGAGTTACCCGTCCCAGCCCTAGAATGTCATATTCAGTAAGTATCTGCTGTGCCCCAAAACACTTTAAATGTTTTGGTTTGCATTGTGATATTTGACATAGCTTCAACCTTTGAGGTTCATGTATTGCTGGGACTGCCAATAGTGACATAGCGTGTAAGTCTTGCCCTCTACATAACCAGTTACAACTGTATGCATGTGTGATTCAAGGACTGTGAGAATGGCTGTTGCATAGAAGAAACTCTCATTTCTTTCCATAATCTTCTTTAACCTGTTGAGACCCTTCTGATTTGATATCATATTCCAGAAATGTTAAGGTGAGCTACGGAGTCTTATAGCACTATTTATATTGGATTTAATGCCCAAATTATTTCTCATCTTCTTGAAACTTAACCCCTGAAGATCCTCGGGTAGAATAGGTCTTCAGCAACCCATACTTGCCTTAAAAGGTAACTATACTTGTCGTAAAAGGCGACTAACAGGATCAGGTGGTCAGGCTTGCTGACTTGGTTGATGCATGTCATTGATCCCAATTGCGTGGATTGATGCTCATGATATTAATCAGTGGATTGTCTGGTCCTGACTCGATTATTTACAGACCGCCATCATATAACTGGAATATTGCTGAGTGCGGCGTTAAGCAACAAGCCAACCAACCAACTTATTGAATCTTTCTTTTTTTATCACAGGATGTGCAATTTGAATTTGATCATAGTGAGGATGCCTTTGTTGGCCAAGGATTTGATGTGATCCTTAGAGTCAAGAATAACAGCAAGTCGGAAAGAACTCTTAAGATATTTATGGCAGCACGGACAATGTACTACACCGGTGTGTCTGCACATCGCATCAAGTCACAGAAATTTGATGAAGTCCTCAAACCTGAGAGCTGTAAGTATGCTTTTTCTAAAATGTTTGTTGTTTTGTTTTGATCTTTGTAAGATGTCAGTGGAGTCTTTAGACATCATCTATGTTACAGCGGTATAACGTCTAGGTAATGACGACGAATACTTGTTTGGGGGTTCGTGGGATTTATTCTGTCTGTTCATATCAGGGATATGGAGATCCGTCGGTCACAAGGAAACATTAAAATGTCGATGTCGATTGTTTGATACATTTATATTTTTAGTTACTGCTATAAAGGGTTACTGTTTTTGCATCAAATTTAATTGTTGAGATTATGGAATCTGCTCAGCCCCCTGGCCCAATAGCATCATAAAATCTAGATACAGTAAATCTTGAAATTAGCATGAAATTAAATGCGAAAAATGAGCGTGGTCTTTTTTCGTATTAATGAATTTTTGCATTTACGTCTCCAAAATGACTATCAACAATAAGATGGCCTCACTGCACATTTTGGATAGCGGAAATACCAGCTTGAATATAAAAACAGACACGGTTAATTGAGCAGCAGTTGTAACAAGTTATGATTAGGTGCTTCACTCTGGCAGTGTGGACGTGACTTTAACAGTATTCCAGTTACCGGTACATCACAGCGTGTCAGCTTTATGTTGGAGGAAAGCCTGAAGTGATGCAGGTCTGAGACATTTACCACTTCGGCAAAACCCACGAGCACGGGTATGATGCTGACAAACCTAGAAACATAATCGGGGCGAACCGGGATTCGAACACACAATCATGGGTTTCTGGCGTGCCCAAGGGACGCAACTCTGCACAGTGAATCACGGCGCCTTAGACGACTGGGCCACCCGTGCCCGTGGTCACAATACAAATTGATTGATAGGCATTACTTAGAGTGAGTGAGTATGGTTTTATGCTGCTTTTAGCAACATTCCAGCAATAATCATGTCAAGGGGACCAGAAGTGGGCTTCACACACAGTACCCATGTGGCGAAACTGACACGCTGTGATATAACTGGAATACTGTTAACAGCGGCGTCATTCGTCACCACTCGCCCCTTTCCGTAACCTGCAAGAAGACTCGTCCCCCTATCGATGAATGTTATGTGCGAAAATACGACAAACCAATCAGAATGCGCGTATGATTTCTAGTTCTTCATCGGAGAATCCCTCAGAAATAATTTTTGATTTTACATATGTCCTGCGTCTAAAAATATACCCAAGACACAGTTAAGTGTGTTCAATCATACTGTATAATTCCGCACGTCCCGATGTGCTTTAAATTGCATCTGAAATATATATAATATATGGGGAAATATATGTGAACCATTACGCAACGAGTTGACAATGGTTTTAGGTATGCCCGTTTGCGCTGAGACGGAACCCGGTCGCACAAAATGGCCATGAGAGGGGCACGAGTCGCTATTCGGCTTGTCCTGGAATAACACGAGTTGGTCACGAATGCAGCGGCGTTAAACTCAACTCACTCACTCGTATTGTGACCAATTGCAGGTACTGAGATGAAAATGACTGTGCAAGTGGAAGACTACCAAGACAAGCTAAAGGATATGTGCATGCTCCAGCTGACTTGTATGGCCCGTGTGCTGGAGACGGGGCAGGCCTTTACCAACATGTGTGACTTCAGACTCCGTAAACCCCACCTGGAAATCAAGGTAGTCTGTCATTTGCATGCTATATACAATGTGTTTTTGTTTGTTTGTTTGTTTCTTGTTTATCGCCTCACTCAGAAATATTTCAGCTGTATGATGGAAGTCTGTAAATAATGAAGTCTGGAAAAGCAAATCCAGTGATTGACATCATGAGCATCCATCTACACAATTGGGATATGATGACATGCATCAACCAAGCCAGCGTTAGTCACCTCTCACCACAAGCATAGTCACCTTTTACGGCAAGCGTGGGTTGCTGATGACCCATTCTACCCCGGATCTTCACGGGTGACACACAGTAACTCATGCATGGATTGGATTGATTTGAATACATCTATGACAAATGGTTGAGTGCAATGTCAGTGTACCGACATGCATGGATCATGTCCAGACTTCATTATTAACTGTCCGCCATCATATGGCTCTGATATTGCCTTGAGCCACATTAAACAACAAACAAATATACTTGTGTTAATGAACCTCACAGCGTGCTTTACGATTCTCCAGACAGGTAATTATTGGTGGTATATAGTCTGTAGTTTGTTGTTGTTGTTGTTGTTGCACAAAATGTGAATTCTTTGATACTTAAAATATTAAAGTCAACAACAGATGTCTAAAGTTACTACTTATCCAATTGGAATGTATGCAATACTATATGTGCCCAGGGGGGCTACACAGTGGCATTATTTTTTATTTTGTCTTCTAGTTTTATACCCAACCTTGTGGGTCTGAGACCTGCATCACTTCGGACTTTCCCGCCACATCAAGCTGACATGCCATGATATAACTGGAATACTGTTAAAAGCGGCATTAAACCAGCTCAGTCACTCACTCACTCAATTATATTTGTTCCATCAGGTTTTTAAATTAACAACTTGGTTTTTTGTAGGCCCCTAAACAGGGGAAGGTTGGGACGAAGATGTCTGTGGAGATTTCCTTCACCAACCCCATGGCGCAGACACTGACTGGATGTGCGATCCAGATAGATGGCCCTGGCCTCCAGAAACCTCTCAAAATCAAACAAGAGTAAGTTGTTCATAGAAAAACTTTGTTCAGGATAGGTTTGCTTCACAAATACTTACAACACTAGGTAGCTTCCTCTCCTCAATGTTGGACTGAGGGAGATGGGCATGTTTTGCTTTGTCTTACTCCTCTATACAAGTTTCATCCCTTTGCCTCCTCTCATGTTGGTAAGACTGCCTCTGGCAGAGGGTTCACACCCCGGGCGCATCATTCCAAATGGCGTTAAAAGATGGTACTTGTTGTTACCCTGCCTGATGCTCAGCACACACACATAAAAACACACACACACACACACACACACACACACACACACACACACACACACACACACACACACCACAGTCACACAGTCACATACACACATGTATGTCCCTATATAAGTGCAATAATCTTAAATGCGATGTTCAACCCCACCTCACCTTGTGTTGGTCAGGTTCACAGCTGCAGGTGGAAACAGCTGGGTTAGAGCATAATGTTCAGGTGACCTCACCTTGTGTTGGTCAGGTTCACAACTGCAGCTGGGTTAGAGCATAATGTTCAGGTGACCTCACCTTGTGTTGGTCAGGTTCACAACTGCAGCTGGGTTAGAGCATAATGCTCAGGTGACCTCACCTTGTGTTGGTCAGGTTCACAGCTGCAGGTGGAAACAGCTGGGTTAGAGCATAATGCTCAGGTGACCTTACCTTTTGTTGGATAGGTTCACAGCTGCAGCTGGGTTAGAGCATAATGCACAGGTGACCTCACCTTGTGTTGGTCAGGTTCACAGCTGCAGCTGGGAACAGCTGGGCTAGAGCATAATGCTCAGGTGACCTCACCTTGTGTTGGTCAGGTTCACAGCTGGAGCTGGGAACAGCTGGGTAAGAGCATAATGCTCAGGTGACCTCACCTTGTGTTGGTCAGGTTCACAGCTGCAGCTGGGAACAGCTGGGCTAGAGCATAATGCTCAAGTGACCTCACCTTGTGTTGGTCAGGTTCACAGCTGCAGTTGGGAACAGCTTGGTTAGAGCATAATGCTCAGGTGACCTCACCTTGTGTTGGTCAGGTTCACAGCTGCAGCTGGGAACAGCTGGGCTAGAGCATAATGCTCAAGTGACCTCACCTTGTGTTGGTCAGGTTCACAGCTGCAGTTGGGAACAGCTGGGTTAGAGCATAATGCTCAGGTGACAAGCACATAGAACAACAGCGTCTACGCTGGTGGAGAGGAAGGCGTCAAGGCACAAACACTCCTCTTCTCTCAGTGATTCCATCACCTCTTGTCCCACAAGTGTTCCACGTCGGGGTTGTCTTCCCATGTCAGAATCTAGGAAACTACAGTCAATGTTAATATTTAATATCTTTTTCTTTCAGATCCGTTGGTCCGAAGCAGACATTTATGACGTCAGTGGATCTGACTCCAAGGAAGAAAGGAAAACGAGAGATTGCCATTATCTTCAGCTCAAAACAGTTGGAAGATGTGAATGGATGTCATATGATAGACGTCAAAGCAAAGTAATAAGTATATGCCTTCGGCGTATGCCTTCGGTGTATGCCTTCGTTGTGTGCCTTTGGCGTATGCCTTCGGTGTGTGCCTTCGTTGTGTGCCTTCAGCGTATGCCTTTGGCGTGTGCTTTTGGCGTGTGCCTTCGGTGTATGCCTTCGTTGTGTGCCTTCAGCGTATGCCTTTGGCGTGTGCCTTCGGTGTGTACCTTCGTTGTGTGCCTTCGGCGTATGCCTTTGGCATATGCCTTTGGTGTGTGCCTTCGGTGTTTGCCTTGGTGTGTGCCTTCGGCGTATGCCTTCGTTGTGTGCCTTCGGCGTATGCCTTCGGCGTATGCCTTTGGTGTGTGCCTTCGTTGTGTGCCTTCGTTGTGTGCCTTCGGCGTATGCCTTCGGTGTTTGCCATGCAGCTGCATAGGCATAATGATGCATGGATCAGTTCTTGTCAGTGTTGCATCCTTTATGTTAGTATTATGTTCCAGGGGGTTTTGAGGAGTGATTCATGACTTGTCATTATAATGCCATTCATATGCATAACAGGGCCTTGTTCCAGTAAACAGTCTTAATGCACAAATATGCTCTACTGCCTTATTAACAACTTTGTTGTCAACGAGGTTTGTTTGTTTGTTGTTTAACGCCGCACTCAGCAATATTCCAGCCATATGACGGCAGTCTGTAAATAATCGAGTCTGGACCGGACAGTCCAGTGATTGACATCATGAGCATCGATCCACTAAATTGGGGTACGATGACATGTATCAACCAAGTCAGCGAGTCTGACCACCCGATCCTGTTAGTCGCCTCTTACGACATGCATAGTCGCCTTTTAGGCAAGCATGGGTTGCTGAAGACCTATTCTACCCCGGATCTTCACAGGTCTGTCAACAACGTATTTTCACTTTGTCAAAAGACAGCATTCATCTTTTCTTGTCATATATTTGTCAATATAATCTCTTTACGTTGTTAAAAGATAAAAGTTATCAATTCTTGTCATGTGTATGCCAACAAAGTGTTTTCACCTTGTCAAAGGTAAATTGACCAATTATTCTCAATTTTTTGTTGATAAACTGTTGACACCTTATCATTTTCTTATTTTATTATATATTTTATTTTCAATTTGAATATTAAATTTCAGAAATATTTTATACATCTTGATCGCATCACCTTTTGGGTGAAGGTCAAGGTCACTAGGGGTCACATTGTGGGGCAGGATACACCAACCTTTTTACAAACACCTGGTATCGTCACTATTTGGTAGTGATTCATAAACACTTGCTCATGATGTGGTCGGAATCATACAAAAGACTCTACTTTTGTCACTTTTATTATTGTGAATCATGGCACACATTTCAGGATTTTATTACAAAGGACAACAGCATATAAAGAGTGCCACCATTAACGTCAAGTGCTTCCTGCCGCCTCCTGTAGTGTCTGGGGTTCAGAATAACCCTGTAGTACTTAGAAATCCAACTAATCCCATGCGTGTTCTGATATTTGGTCTGGTATTGTTTTGAAGATGATGTTAGCATGATTCATGTGTGGCTGTAAGATTTCATCCACAGATTTCTGAGATTTCTGTCCACATAACGTGTACAAGACCAGGGGGTATTAATAATGAATACGAGCAATATACACCGGTAGCCCATGAAATAAACTACCCTCCTTAATATCCATTGTTTTTCATTATAGTTTGGAACAATATTAACTGTTCCTTACATGGTTACCCTTTTTGCAAACACCTGGTGTCGTCACTGGTTTGGGGTGGTTTTCACCGTTATATTGGCTTTTTGGCCCAGTGGAGTCGTTTTGGCAGGTTATTGAGACTGGTTATTGTCTTGCATTGATGTTTTATGTTTACATTGTTTATGCTGAAGATATAACAAGTGCTGATAAGCTCCTTACCAAAGACTATTTATTCTGTACTGCCGTCAATATGCTTCCAGTTGATAACGATACCACCAACCTCTGTTTTACAAAAATGATATTTGCAATTTCTTGAGGTAATTTTTTAAATTTTGGCTCTTAGACCTGTATGCTATCACTGATCTTTACCTATTGAAATATAAAATAAACCATGAAAAATTTGTGTCACTGACCTTGAGATGTCCTTGCCTGGAGTTGTAATGTGGTTGAATCATGACCAGATCGGCAAACAAGTCCTACTGGTTTAAAACAAATGCTTATAATCAAATACATTCATTTTATTTTTAATATATACATGTGATAAATGTAACATTGATGCATAATTAGTTAAGTTTGACTGCATTTAGATCACTACAGCTGAATCAGAGGTAACAATGTACAATTTGACAAAATCTAGATCTGATGTTCAGGTCAATTTTTTACATAGTGACATTTTTTGGTTTAATAAATATTTGAATTCTTTGACAGTATTCAGATTGGTGAATTCCTCTAGGTTTTTGCAAAGTTTGACCGTTTTTGAAAAAAAGGAGTTTAGGTAAGAGTTTGTAGTGCATCGAATTGTTTGTAGTTTTTCTTGATTTCGTAGACTATATACTTGCTTGTATTAATAAAATCAAAGATGGTTAACCATTTCATAGAAGAAGGATGATGATTTACAATTTTTCATTGTTTGTTTCTTTTGTCATTAACAAATATGTGTAATTCATGAATATGTCATAATATATATGTGCTGTTTATCATTGCAGTATAGAACAATAAATAATCTCTCTGAATTTTATGTGTTTTTCCTTGCTTTAACTGTAACGGGGAATGCTGTCCTACTATGTATACTACTCAAAAGAAACTAAGGATTACCAAACTTCTCTCCATGATTTTTTTCAATTAACTGTATTCTGTAAATCTTGAAATTAATGCTAACGTGAATTAAATTCGAAAAATGCGAGGGGTCTTTGTTCGCGTTTATGAAACTTCACATTTATGTCTCCAAGATGACTCTCAACAATAAGACGTCCTCACTGCACACTTTGGATAGCAGAAATACAAACTTGAAGATAAACACAAACACGTTTATTGAGCAGCAGTTGTAACAAGTATATAACAATGTCATTCAAAGAATAGGAATAAAACAATTGGCATCCGGTGAGTTATCACTGTTTGGGTCAAGAGGTTCTACCCACTCATGTCAAACTAGGCATCATTGACCACTCCAGCAGTCCAGACAGACGCCACCCACGCAACACTTCGAAAGGCCAATACGACCCAATGCGCACCGATAGGCTTCACCACACTCCTCACATCTACAGCTTTTGTCTTGTCATCTGCCTTCAAGTTTGTTGACACCTTCTCCACATACCAATCTTTGAACTTCCTAAATTTCAGTCAAAAGAATAAACATATAAGCTGTGTGTTGTTTTTAGGAAAACACTGTTTATTGTTTTCACGGAAGTGATCTACTGAGCGCCAATAAGCTGTGCTATTGGTTGTGTGATTGGATTAAGGTAAGGATTTGTATCATTTCACTGGGTTGTGGTTGGGGAAGTCGCATTGATATTGAGTCACATTTTTGGCTAGGGGTCAGCAGTCGTATTGATTTGGAGACATTAATTTCAAGATTTACAGTACCTGGTATATATATATATGTGACTTTATTATGCCTCAAAGTGAGATTGACCAATCAGAGAGCAGAACTACTGACCCCACATGAGCCCGTATACCGTCAGTAAAGATCCAAGATGGTTGATACTGACCTAATATGAGACCGTATACCGTCAGTAACAGCCATTTTGGATTTTTCAACACCCACCTCACATATTTCACATGGAAATTCTGGTACAGAAATTCATTATTCGACACTGTTTTGTGTTTTACTATCATTGATTGTGATCAGTGGTCAACTTTTCAACAACTGTATCCTTTACTAACCAGTATACTTTGGTTATAATCCAACTGGGCGGTCAGGTAACCCAGTGGTTAAAGCTTTCACTCGTCACGCCGAAGACCCGGGTTCGATTCCCGACACGAGTACAATGTGTGAAGCTCATTTCTGGTGTCCCCTGCTGTGATATTGCTGGAATATTGCGAAAAGCGGCGTAAAACAATACTCACTCACTAATAAGCCAACTGGTTGTAATACCATGTATTTCTTGGAACCGATTTATGCACTATGAAATTACTTTGTATAATGCCAACCTGGTTATAATGCCAATGCCCAATTCCCTGTCTATAATGCCAATTTTGGAGGCGAGCACTGAAAGTGCTCTGTGAAATGTCTGTGGTTTCTCCTGGGGGTAATGTCAAAGATATCACATTACATGTATCTGTGGATAGATTTTGCAGTATTGCATGGCTTTCGATCTAGCCATGTTGCACATCTGTCAGTTTGAGGTTTTTATGTTGCCAAGACAGTAAAGCTGATATTTCATATGGTAGCCATATTAAAAACAACTATGAAATTTATTCATCCTTTAAATTTCAAAATGCTATGAAATTTCATATTTGTGTGTTTATAGTTGGTCTGCTTTCATGTTTGTAGCTCACCTGACAGAAAGCCAAGTGAGCTAACTGACAGTCATTCAATTACCGTATTCGACGTAATGAGCGCCCAGGGTGCTCTCAAAATTAGAAATAGGGGGCTCTTATTAGAATATTATTTTGGTGATAAAAAACAGAGCTGAAAGATAAATTTAGTGGTTTATGCTGACAGCCTGAAATGTTTATGTACGACAGATATATTTTTCAAGAATTTAATTGCCAATAATTAAGGGTGCATATAACACACGAGTGCGTATTATACACGAATAAATGAGTCTTGTGTACATTGATCAATCCTAAGGGGTACTAATTGGGATTGTTCACTAGCCAATATATTAGCAAAAATCGCCATGGGCGCTTATAAGAGCGGGGTGCTTATAACGTCAAATATGGTAAGCTATATTTCGGAAATACTGAAAGGCCATGGGCCTATAGTACACATCGTTGTGGATGGACATACTGATTTCTACTTCTTTAAGTCTTCTTATCATTTCTAAAATTAATTGCATGGAATATCTACGCAGTCAAAGGCTTCAATACATTATTTGTAGAAGACATTACTCCTTAAATTTAGATATATTTGGAAATTGATGGGTGTAGATATATATCGTAAATTCTGATAAAATGGACAAATGAGAACAAAATGATACTTAGCAGTATTAGCTGTAGATTACACATTTTACATGACTTAATTTCCTTTGGGATTTTGGAATATCTTCCCATTTCAATAAATAATTCATTTGGTGAGCATCTGAATCTAGAAAACGCAATTCTATATTTGTACGAGTGGTTTCAAAAGATTCTGCAGTTATAAAATGTGTTTTAAACAAACTAAAGTACTGACATTTTGACAATAAAGCTAACAAACAATACCACTGTTGTATGAACGTATCTATGAGCCTTTCTGTACACAATTTAACAAAATGTTAAAAAAAAATCTACATTTTGACTTTGCCAAGCATAACCAAAGCCTAAATCATTAATGAGCTTTTTAACTGTCGAAACCCAGTTTTGCTTTCCATTTTTGTCATACAATACCATCATGTCTTAACTTTCTGAAAGTCAAGTGAGCTTATGTCATGGCTTGTTTGGCCATTGTCTTGTTCCCACCAACGATGATGCCGGAATATGTTTAAGAGGTTTAGATACCATTTTCACGCCTGTACGTGTTCGAATTTGGCCGCCATGTTGGAAAAGCTATTTATGGCTCTTTCTGTCGCTTTTGTTTAAAAATGTAATGAAATTTGGTAAGATGCTGGGGACGTTAGTACTGGGGCTACATTTGTATGTGATATTTAAAATCTTGACCTTGTTTTCACAATACTCTTACGTTCTCTCCAAATATATATATGGCTCTGAGGATGCTGAACATCACGTGTAAGATCCGGGGTAGAATAGGTCTTCAGCAACCCATTCTTGCCCCAAAGGGCGACTGTGATTGTCGTAAGAGGCAACTAATGGGATCAGGTGGTCAGAATCGCTGACTTGGTTGATGCATATCATCGTATCCCAATTTGTTGGTTGGTTTGTTGTTTTACGCCGCTTTTAACAGTATTCCCGTCACACCACGGCATGTCAGTTTAATGTGGGCAGAAAGCCCGAAGTGATGCAGGTCTCAGACCTTTTACCACTTCGGGGAAATGCACATGCACGGGTATGGTGCTGACAAACCTAGAAACATTATCGGGGCGAACCTGGATTCGAACCCACAACCACTGGTTTCTGGTGTGCCCAAGGGACGCAACACTTCACAGAGGATCTCGGTGCCTTAGGCGACTGGGCCGTCTGTGCCCCCCTATGTTCTCAGTGTGTTGTGAGTTCAGAGTACATGTTCTGTTCCCACAAGCCAGGTCTGTACAAAGACAACATGACCCTCACCACACTGACAAGGCGTCTCCTAGTCTATCAAGGTCAGGTGGAGCTTAACATCAAGTTCAGGATTATTTCACTTACAAAGTGACTCTGTGTCTGTGTGTGTGCGTGCATGCTTGGCTGGGCTTGTACTAGTGTGGGTGGTCTGTTGGCCTATTGGTTAAAGCATTTGCTGGTCATGCCGAAGGCCCGGGTTCAATTCCCCACATGGGTACAATGTGTGAAGCCCATTTCTGGTGTCCCCCAGATGATATTGCTGGAATATTGCTGGAATAGATTTTGCAGTTTTGCATGGCTTTCGATCTAGCCATGTTGCACATCTGTCAGTTTGAGGTTTTTATGTTGCCAAGACAGCAGCATAACACAATAGTCAATCACAAATCATGCTGCAGTTTAACATGAATACCCCACTCAGACACATTATACTGACCTCAAGTCAGCCAGTATGGTTTTTTTTATCCCCATAATGCTGAGCGCCAGGCAGAGTAAGAACAACTTCTTAACTTCTTTTGGTATGATGTGGCCATCAAATCGAACTACCCGACTTCTGCTCTCCGAGCAGGTCATGAACACATTCATTAGTCTATCAATGTGTGAATATTTCAATGAGAAAGGAAAAAGCAACATATTTATTTTGAGAATTTATTAAATAATGACTGTACAATTGTAGAAGTATAATATATAACAATAAATGTAAGTCAATAGATATGGACAAAGTTTATGGACAAAGTTCAAGGACACTGTCTCGGCACTGGGTATATGTAAAGCATGGTATAGAAACAGTTGGTCATCACATGTCATGTGTACCACCTTGTACCACCTTGTATCACCAAGTACACGACACTACAGCGCATTCTGCTGCTATGATCACACTGGTTAATGTTTTTTTCTGGGAGTGATATATGTTATACGACCATATGTTAAATAAGCCCTGATATCTACATACTCCAGTATAATGATATGACGTGAATATAGTCACCATGCAGACTGACATGCAACTTGTGAACACATCACAAGAAAACTACTCAACCATCAATTAAAAAGGTACGCCTTAATTACTTGGCTTCTGCTGTTTGTTCAAAACCCAAAAGGATCAGCCCTCAAAATTAATAATTCATATGGTGTGATTTCAGAAAAGACTTGTAAGGCGAACTAAAAAAATATATTCTTTTGTGGGAAACAAAATTTTTCTATTATTAAAATCAGTGGTTAAAGAGAAAACGTATCAAAATGATTATTTTATGTAATTTTTTGTTTGGGTGATTTTTAAATCGAGTTAATAAAATACACCTCACTGTTACCTTACATTACATGGCAAACACTTCACACAATACATTGTTCCCTACCAGCTTGGCTCTCCCACACCCCT